GTAGTACAACTTATATACACGTACTAGTATAGAACTTCTGCAGATCTATCTTATATTAAACAAAACGCATTAGATTATTAATTTTCTTTTTTTAATATTAACTACATACTTGTACATATGTACATATTCCGATTCGAGTTAACAATGAATACACTGGCATCGAAGATATTTAAACCTGAAGTAGTTTAATATTATTTGTGATTTATTTATACTAAACGTAAGCACTGAGCAAATAAACTAGTTACATAAATGCTTTGAATAAAAAGTCCAATAACAATAAATTACAAACAGCTTTATTCTTTATTGATCAGATTAAAACGTAGTGATTATTTGCTCAATGGTCCAGTTGTTTTTACAGATAACTCTATACAATAATTTAGGTGCTCTATGGACTGTGTAAAACAATGGTCTATTGGAAATAAAAACAAAGCTGTTCGAAATTTAAAAGCTCACGCATTTCGTATCTAGGTCGGGGCGCGCGCGTCACGCTCTGGCTGACGTCACGCCGCTTGCCGTGACGTCAGTGCCCCTCCTCCAGCCACGCCCGCCCTCGTCTGTAGGCATAGATAGGATTGTCAGATACGGTAGATTCGTGTACAAAGCAATATATAATCCATACTGAGCTATATATTTGACTAAACACGGTCGGAAGTTGTTTGTAGAAAGTTTACCATTATCTAGTTGATCCTCGGAAATATTATATACGTATGTACGTATATGATATTTCCAAGGATTGTCAAAAACAGGGAAAATGTGACGCATATGACATTATATGCGTGACATTTTCCCTGTTTTTGACAATGGAAACGATGACCTATGACTAGTACCAGAGATATATATAATAGATAAGTTTAACATCAATTATTTACCACCAGAGAGACGGACAGACAGCGACAGCGACTTTGTTTTATACTATGTGATGATGATGAAACATGCGTGTTATAGTGTAGAACAAACCGAGAAATACAAAGATTTGTAAAGCAACGGTTCGAAGCCCTTTTGTTATCTATTTTATTCCTTATGTTGTCCCTGATTTTGATAAATTTAACCCCTTTGCGGATGAAATAAGGGATGATGGAGGATGTAAATGTATTAGTTTGAACCTATTAGTACCTAATGGAACGAATAAATTAAGACGAACAATATAATTTTTAGTTCTATAGGCTACTTTTATTTTAGAAAAATAAAGTAAACTTCCACGCGGATGAAGTCGCGAGAACACCTAGTAAGATTATAAACTGTAAAATATATATTTTAGGTATGATTAATACAACAGGATTCAATCAACAGAAATGCGGAGTAATTTATCGGCAGTCCCGATATTTAATGGGTCGACATTCAATCGATATTAAGTCTGGGAACATTCCGTTGTTCGGGTCGGGCTGTTTCTCATCTCTGTAGATATAATAATAAATTCAGACCAATTCACACAGTGCGATCTATACTATGTGCACTGTAGCATGGTGCGGACAGTCGCCTGTATCTGTAGACATTCTGGTTGTGTTAAATTTAAGGTACTACAGTTATTAATGATTTAATATATTATCAACTAGCTGTACCCGCGACTAAGTCACCGTGGAATCTAACTTAATTTTTCTAAAATAAAATTAGTCTAAGTTACTTGTTTTACATCAGTGTTCGTAACCCAAACAGACCAGTCTCCACAAACAGCACCCGTTCATGAGTATGACGTATGAGCCAGCCATTATTGCACTCAACCATATTAGAGGGAGCACATTGACTCGCCCCACCACGCCGCCACAAGTTTGAACTTTATAACATATGCAATGATTGCACTCTAATTCGTAAAGTTTTGTACTTTTTATGTAGTCCCCGAGGTAGTCTTTGTAAGTCAGTCTACGTAGGTACACCAGTCTCAGCTATTTCAGCTTGCTTTGTAAATTATTTCGGTTGTAAGGTGCAATTAGTGTAGAATACACGGCATGACATCAATCCTCTGACATGACAACGCATGAGTAGTATCACGGGTGTCACATGATAACTTGATGTAGTGCTAATCATATATATAGGTGTGGTTACAGCTTACCTTTTACCATCGCACCGCTCGCTATGGACAGGAAATTCATCCCCATACGCTGGAACGTAAGTGGACAGTGCGGTTTCAGAGGAACTTCCTCCCGCGTACATTTAGATTGTGGTTCAAGATTCAAGATTCTTTAATTGTAAAACATGCGTGATTACATAAGGAGATGATATACATATAGAAGGAATTTGCCCGACATGTTTAGCCTATATGGAATACAATATACTTAAATGCTACAAAAAAATATTACATTTAAATGTTAAACAATAATAAAAACGAATGATGTCATAATAATACAAAAACTACAAGTTAAGTATATGCACAATAATATAAAACTAATATAACATTTCGTCAAATTTATCATCTAAAAAATGTGATATGAACTAACTGCCGAGGTTTTCTCAAGAGACTACTGCATGGAGTTTTTCATATATTATAGGTTTCTTAAGGGTCACTGCTGGTGTTTCAGGGTCCATAGGTAACCGTTAACCATTACATGGGTCGTATACTTGTTTGACTCCGTCTTTATATATAAATATTACTTGTCACGTTGTTTGTCCGCGATGGACTCTTAAACTACTGCACCGATTGCAAATTTGATTTGCACATCGTGTGCAATTTGATCTTGAAAGATAGGATAGCTTACATCTCAGTTTATAGTCGCAATATTATTTTATTCACAAACCTTAGCCACAGCAAATCGTGGCCGGACCTACTAGTCGTAGTATAAAAAACAACCTTCAGGTGAGCCGTAAGCTTATTTGCAATTCCATAAAGCAAAATAAATAAACAAACAACAAAATTAATCATAACAAACCATATTTCATAACCAATACCCTAACGCAAACATCCTAAATATTGCTAAGTAAACCACCTAGGTGCTTTAGCACATCCTTTATTCACCCCCACACCCATCCCAACACCCCATCACGCCTGACACCCCAAACAGGGTTGGCCTGGTACGATAGGGAGAGACGTCAGCTTAACTTTATTTGGCCAGACGAATGAATTTTAGCATCACTTTATGCATTAGAATAAGGTAGTTTAATAATATTTTCGGTTTCAGAAGCAATACGGTTTTTAACAGACTGCAAAGAAGGTGGTTCGGAATTGAGCTTTATTTTTTAACGTTTAAGACTGCATTGAATAATCTTACTTCTCATATAGGGACAGGCATTTTTTTTATTGTTAACTAGCTGTACTCGCGATTTCGTCCGCGTGGAATTTAACTTTAATTTTCTAAAATAAAAGTAGCCTATTTACTCCTTATTATATCAGCTACCTGCCGAAAAAAGTCCCGTCAAAATCGGTCTAGCCATTTCAGAGGTTAGCCGGAACAAACAGACAGACAAAAATTGTAAAAAATGTTATTTTGGTGTATGTACCGTATTTATATTCATATGCATGTAGTAAAAAATTGTTATTTCAATATTATAAGCAGACACTCCAATTTTATTTATATGTATGGATTACGTATATTACTTTTTTAAATATTTTTAGTGTAGGTACAATAATTTGAGGTGTAGTCATTATTTAACCCCTAGATTTATTTCAATTAAAGTGCCCACCGGTGCCCACCACGGTCTAGACTATCTGTGTACCAAATTTAATTTAAATCGGTTCAGTAGTTTTGGCGTGAAAGCGAGACCGACAGAGTTACTTTCGCATTTATAATTAGTAAGAATAAGGATTTACGTTGACACATGCCAGCCGTTCTTTTTACATTTTTGTTAATAAAATCTCCTCAACGTCCTCGCGCACAGTAATTCGCTGTGAAGTTTCAAAATGTACCTTGTTGTTTCTATAATGTTTCGCAAGACAAAGTTACGAAGCAGCAAGTTGCCGCTGAAATTATATTAACTTAGTAGCTATTCCCGCGACTTCGTTCGCGTGGAATTTAACTTTATTTTTCTAAAATAAAAGTAGCCTAAGTTACTCCTTATTACATCAGCTACCTGCCAATAAAAGTCCCGTCAAAATCCGTCCAGCCATTTCAGAGATTAGCCGGAACAAACAGACAGACAGACAGACAAAAATTGTGAAAAATGTTATTTTGGTGTATATACCGTATTTATATTCATATGCATGTAGTAAGCGATTATTTCAATATTACAAACAGATACTCCAATTTTATTTATATGTATAAATGATGACGTATTTCGTAGAAGCTCCTACGTCGTAGACAGACCGCCTACGACCTGTAGCTTCTGCTACGAATGTCTACGATTACGTAATATGACTCTTATTTAACCTTCAATGCATAGTTTTCGAGGAGGTTCTGCATAACTGAGGGTCACGGGTTCAAATAGTTATTATTAACCGACTTCACAAATGTTAAAGTTATCAATACCGCTGAAGGATTATGTATGTTACGAAATATTGACTACTTACTGTTACACGCGACTTTGTTCGCGTGATTTTTTTTATTAAAATAATAATTGTAATATAATAATATTTGCCTAAGTAGTAGTCTCGGCTCTACACGTACAACGGCCCTACTGAAAGGCTTATTGTGGTAAACAGAGTCTAATTTACACTACATTACATTACACCTATATCACCCAGTAAGCTTATTACTAATATTATAATCGCTAAATTTTGTGAATATGGATGGATGTTTGTTACTCTTTCACGCAAAAACTACTAAATATTTTGATGAAACTTTACAGTAATATAGCTTATGCAGCAGAATAACACATTGGCTATATTTTTTATTGATTATTAACGCAAGTGAATCCGCGGACATAGCTAGTTAATATTATAAAGGCAAAAGTTTGTGAATATGGATGGATGTTTGTTAGTCTTTCACGCAAAAACTACTGAATGAATTTTGATGAAACTTTAGAGTAATATAGTTCATATATCAGAACAGGCTATAAATTTCACGCGGGTGAAACCGCAGCAACAGGTAGTGGAACATATTAATATAGTGTAGATCAAATTGTTGCGCGCGCAGGTCCCCCTCTTACCGAGTCACGAAGCCGTCGGTGGACGCGAGCGCCGAGCAAGCACCGCAGCCGGCGCACCACCTGCTCGAGCCGACGCCCTCCATCAAGGACAAGAAGCCGCTCAAGGGGCCCAGACCCGTTGGATCCAGCGTCTCCGGTAAGGGAACCATCTTCTTCTTTTGTTCAATTGGCAACTAAATGCACTTATCTCAGAATGTAGCTACGACTTTTGCATTAGGTCGCATTTTTTAGATCTTCTTGAAGAATGCATTAAAATCAAATCAAATCAAAATATCTTTATTCATGTAGGTCTCTCCATTTCCATCTATCCACGTTCAATTTGGTACATAAAATAAAATTAACTATTTTTTTTTTCGAGTAAACACCTTTTTAGCTTTTTTTAATTTTAATTTATATTTGTTTTTCTTAACAATCGTTTTCTTTAAATTTTTTATTAAATATTCCACCTCCGATTGATCCTTCGTCCAATTCAAATGGGGATCGAAATTACGGCAGCCTGAGCCGAAGTTCGACCTCCTAGCGGTGCCCACAGATTAAAATCGTATCCGTCAGGTGGGAGTTGGCCTTCAGCCGCTGCTAAGTCCTTTCGCAGGTTTGGAGTGCCATCTGCACTCGCTCCCTATCGTCCGGTGAAGCTGTAATGGTCAGCTGCAGCCAAAAGCATTAGTGTAGTCCAAAAAAAAAGATAAATTCATGGCGTCATGTAACTTCCTGTCCTTTCATCATAATGCCCAATTTACACTCAGCCCGAGTGGGCAGGGAAGTGAGCAGCGCGAGAGTGTAAACACGAGTGGAAACAGTTCCCATACCATTAGCGCTGCCACTCGCGCTGCCCAGCGCTACCTCGATTGGCGGTTTTTCATGCGCGAGTCAAAGTACTGGCAGCGCGAGGGGCAGCGTGTTTTTACATTCAGCCCTCTCGCTCAGTTGTCGCCCGGCAATATTTCCGGCAGCGCGAGTGGCAGGCGAAGCGGCTGAATGGAAACATAGCATACTACCGCTTCAATATACTTATTTATAGATGTTTTTCTCATGGTATTCTCAGCTGATGGACAATGGATAATATCTGTCTTTCCCATCTAGGATTAACATTTGTGAATACAGGCAGCCCTCGTACTTGCGGCATGTTATGTTCTCGAAATATGGGACGTAAATCGCGACAATGCTTGAGGAATAACGTCAAAACATTGTTCGACGTACCTTGAAACGAGGTAAGTCGAGCACTGCCTGTATATTATTAGAGAAATCTCCGACAATGGTCGCTAGTTATATATGTATATGTATTTATTATATATGCCTTAACTGAAACGTCTTCCATTTCAATATTTCAAAAGCAATACGCAAAACAGACCGCCCCAATTTCTTAGGTCCCTCCGTCCATTTGTCATTTGTTGACAAGAATTATTCATTGTTGAGTGAAATCTAGGGTCTAGCGTCACCGCCATCTTTGCTTTGATTCTGATATATATTATATATATAATAAATGCGAAAGTGTGTTTGTTTGTTACCTTTTAACGAGTAGACGGCTGAACGGATCTTAACGTCGACTTCGGTGGTCGAGCGGGATAGTACACACAACTTTACTTCCGATGGTCGCGGGTCCGATTCCTCGCACGGTGCAAACATTTGTATGGTTGTTTGTATCGGACTGGATGTTCTCTATGTATGTTATCCATTTACAAAAAAACCTCTAAGTATTTATATCAGTAGTCTAGTACCCATAATATAAGCTCTGCTTAAAGTAGGACTAGATGGCGCTGTGTTAATTGTCCAGGGTTATTTATTTATTAATATAGTTTAAGAGAATTGCAATTGGAGACGCCATCTATTGATAATGAATGAAACCATGATAAAATCCAGCAATGGTATTTCCGATACGATATTGAAATCTTTTAGAAAAGAACTCTTAAATCTTAAAAGGCCGGCAACGCACTTGCAATTCCCCTGGTGTTGAGGGCAGCGGTAATCATTTGTCAGGATATTTTATCATTACACAGTATAAAATAAAATCGGTGTCGCTGTCTGTCCCTATGTATGCGTAAATCTTTAAAACTACGCAAGGGCTTTGAATAGAGTGATTCAAGAGGAAGGTTTATATATATATAAAACATGTACACCCGTGCGAAGCCGAAGCGAGAAACTAGTTAGGCTATATTAAAAATATATTTTACTAGCTGTACCCGCGACTTCATGTGCATGTTATAGTGACCTTGACCAAATAAAGAAAAATATTCTATAATATAACCCAAAAAGGCAAAGTTTCATCGTTATAGCTTCAAAAATGATGATACTTCCATACAACCCTTCATCTCCCCTTTCAACCCCTTAAAACCCTTTTTCTTTATTAATAATCAATCTATAGCCCAAAAAATCATTTTTAAAGGTTTTAAAAATTACAATACTTCCATACAAATTTTCATCTACAGTTTCAACCCGCTACAACCCATTTTTCGCATTAAAACAGTAGCCTATATCCTTTCTCAGTGAGTCCTTCCGTGAGTGAATCCTTCTCTAGATAATAGTTTTGGCGTGAAAGCGAGACATACTGACAGACAGTTTCTTTCGCATTTATAATATCAGTAAGTATAAGGATTAGGGAATTAATTAATGCGAATCTGGTACTCGTATAATGGTGGCGTGGAGAGTTTGGGCCCATGCCCATGGAATCTGCAAGCTAAATTGTTGGACAAGTATTTCAACGGGGCTCATCGAGATTACGTGTGACCCGAGAGCTGGTAGTCACTTTGCCCAGAGGTTGAGTATGGCAACGCTGCCAGTATCTTGGGTACGCTGCCTCGATGTGCCTTGTTGGATTACAAAGATATGCTTTTGCAATAGCATATGCTGGTAGTCACTCTATTCTCCCAAATTTGAATTTAAAAATGATACTTGATTATTGTAAACATGTACAAAATTTATTTGAAAAAAATACGAATGGAGTTTTTTGTCAGTTCTCATCTCGAAATCATTAAGAACTGACGGTAGATTTGACATATCATAAGTCTGTAATAGACCTACATGAATAAAGATATTATGAATGCCTATATTAATGTGTGTGTGGAACTATTTAAAAAATAACCCTTTTGCTCAGCTTTCTTTAGACTATATTTCATAATGTATTCTACGAAAATTTTGTCCCAATTATCCAAAGAGTTACTTATCTAAAAAAACTTTGATATATTTTTGAATTTAATTCCATTTGCATGTTCAGATTCCATCTCGCTGTCGTCTCCGGTGGCGTGCGCGTCCCCTCGCGAAGATGTTGAGGGTCCACCTATGCCAGCCAACGTGGCCACACTGCCAGATGAACACCGGTCGTATCTACTCGGTCGGCTGCCCAGCCAGCGAGCCAGGAGACGGCGAGCTATGATTATCTACGTCTGTGCCGCTGACTCACAAGGTAACTTTAAAACATCATCTTTTTATTTATTTATTTATTAGCGTATAAGTGACTTCATCCGAGAGCAATTTAACTTTACTTTTCTAAAATTAAAGTAGGCTAAATTACTCTTTATTACATCAGCTACCTGCTAATAAAAGGCGCGTCAAAATAGGTCCAGCCGTTTCAGAGATTAGCCGAAACAAATAGACAGACAAAAATTGTAAAAAATGTTATTTTGGTGTTGCACCGTATTTATATTCATATGCATGTAATAAGAAACGGTTATTTCAATATTACACACAAACACTCCAATTTTATTTATTTGTATATATACGTGATGCAATCTTTAACTATAGAACCTCAATAATGTTCAAACTTGTGTGACTACTTGTATGACAATGAGGCGGCCTTATAGTTGAAAGCAACATTTTACTTAAGGATGCGGATTTTAATATAATCATGACTTATTTTTCAGATTGCTGTGCGGAAAAAGGCGCGCTTCAGTGCGGCGCCGCAGCACGTTTGCGGGTCCGGGCTAGGCGGCGCGGCTGGAGAATACACGTCGCTGATTTACACTGGAGATCACCACTCGAGCAGCAGCGAGACCATCGCTTCCCCGTGCTCTGTATAGCGGAGCTTGCTCGTAAGTTATTCGTTTTTTAGATAGCCTCAATGTCGCCTGCATCGAGTCACCATAGCCTCGATGTAGGCGGTAAGCACTCGAACAAAAGCGACTGTTGACCATCTACCAGGGATGTTATGAATATGAAATTTCGGATATAGGAATGATTTTAATACCGGATACGGATGCGGATATGAAATTATTTCAGAATATCCGGATAATTTTCGGAAAAAAAAGTTTCGGATAATTTTCAGAAAAATATTTCGGATAATTTCGGTTACGGATATTATTTTTTTAACGAATTTCAAAAATCAAATACAAATAGCTAATAAAATGGTGTCTCAATTAGGCTTCGTCCCTATCCGATATTATCGGACACTTTTATTTCGGATTCGGTTACGGTTATCCGATATTTTTTCATAACGGATATCCGATAGTTTCGGTTATGGTTACGGAGGTCCCTAACGTCACTGCTTTCTACCTCTCATATCTGAATGAATCGAAGACTACCATAATACTACAATAATAAAATATAAAATGTAATGTTAGTTTATACTGTACTTAATTTGTAATAAATTTACCAACTTAAATCTCGTTACAGGTCAGTCGGAGCTCGGTGCAGTAGTGCCCATCCTGTTTCTGAACTCCGGATTAGGGACGCCACTTCTGCCCCACACCCTGGAATGCGCGGACTTCAAAGCGGCTCTCGAAGCCGCTGAAGATGAAAATGACAAGTCACTTTTGAATAAATGGTACGTAGAATTGTAGTAACTCACTGCATTAGAAAAGGAACAAAATACGCCTTCCACATTTCAGCTCGGAAGACGTCTGCTGAACAAAGGCCTCGCCCAAGGATCTTCACGACAATCGATCCTGCGCTGCTCGCATCCAAGGCCTTCCAGCGATTTTAACCAGACGGCCATTACGACTAACATTACGCGAAATGCATTGATTTAAACTGTAATACTAATTTAGATGAAATTAATAATGATTTCTATAGAACTTGAAGATGATAAACTAAATTCCGAACTGAAAAACTATCGTTTAAATGAATAAGGAATTTTCCAAATCAGTTTAAGTGACGTAACATTACGAGACTTATAGCAATCTTATATATAAAATTCTCGTGTCACAGTTTTCGTTCCCATACTCCTCCGAAACGGCTTGACCGATTCTCATAAGATTTTGTAAGCGTATTGAGTAGGTCTGAGAATCGGCCAACATCTATTTTTCATCCCACTAAATGTTAGGGGTAGTCCACCCCTAATTTTTTTTTTATTTTAAGGCAAAACTTTTGCCGGGACAGCTAGTACTTTTATCAAAATAGCAACGTTGTTTAGAACCCTTCTGTTTCTTCTAAAGTCCCAATAAACTACTTTCATATGATGAAAACTGATAACGAAAAAACGGTACTAAAATGTAACATAGTCAAATTTCTTAACGAGTACAACAAGAGTACCTATACTCTTGTAGATTATGTGTGTGGTATAAAATTAATTACTATAATGACTTACGCGATTTTGGTATTAACCCGGTTAACAATATATATTAACTTCCAGGTATAGTTTAGATGCTAGTACAACTCCACCGTGTTATCGGCTGGTGAGGGGTGCTCCAGCGAGATGGCGCCGCGAGATGGCCAAGACTCTGAACGTCCTCGTCAGGACTCTGCCGCAGGAGGCTTGCGATGCATATCTCACTACTGTAGTAGAACAGGTTAGTTGAAACCTTCTATGAACTCATGAAATACTGGTACAAATATCACTCCTAGAAGTACGGATGTTGAAAGTGGTAAGTTATTTTATAATAATAATAAGTAGTGCTCGCCTAGTCGTCGAAATTCGACCATTATTTAAAATAGAACACACGTATAGTACTGAACTGTGTATATTCCTTAATAAGAATATTCTCCCATGACCTTTCTTTTTCGTACTACTCTATTAGTCGCAGCTGGCCTTTACAGCTTCGCCGGACGATAGGGGGCGAGTGCAGATGATACTCCAAACCCACGGACGGACTTATGGAACAGCTGAAGGTCAACTCCCGCCTAAAGGATACGATTTTAGCCTGAGGGCACCGCTAGGTCTTCAAACATCTGACCAGGCCGAAAGAATTGGAGGTGCTCAAAATAAATAAAATAAACAAAAACCCTTGGATAATTAACACAGACAGACACACTGTGTTATGGATACTAGACAACTGATTTAGATGCTTAGACTTATTTTTTTGTAAATACATACATAATATACATAGAAAACATTTAGACCGATACAAATAATCATACTCATGAATACAAATGTTTGTGCCGTGCGAGGATCGAACCTGCGACCATCGGAAGTAAAGCGGTTTTGCTGTATGAAAAGAATTACGCCTAGAAGTATGTACATAAACTTTAACGGTACGTGTACACAGGAGGTGCAGCACAGCGTGCTGCTGAGCGTGGAGGCGGCGCGGCGCTGCGTGTGGGTGTGCCGCGCGGGCTCCGGCGCGGGCTCGGGCTCCGACGCCGCCCCCGACGCCGCCGACGCCTCCGCCGCGCACCACCACGAGCTGCAGCGCCGCCTCAACAACCTGCAGAAGGACCTCAAGGTACCACGCACTACGGTTGTTTGACACAGTTACCTACATCCTTTACCATTGCTTCGCTCGCCATCGACAGTGAATTCATCCCCACACGCTGGATCTCAAACAGTGCGGTTTTTGAGTAGCTTCCTTAGATGGGGGAATGAACTATCTACCGAGGTTTTCTCACGAGACTACAGCATTTTTTGGGTTTTATAGAAAGATATATTGAGGTTTCTTAAGGGTCGGCAACGTGCACGTAACAAACTTAGTGTTTCACGTCGTCACGACTTCCGTAGGCTACGGTACCATTTACCATCAGATGAGCCGTATGCTTATTTGCCACCTACGTAGTATAAAAGAAATCTAAAAGTATCAAACCATGTTATATAAGACTTCAAGTTTCCGATATATAAAGCAGCTATAAAACACGCGTGAAATAGTGCAAGTTATATTCTATAATCATATTAGCCAATATTTTTTATCAAATTAGAACTGACTGTTTTAAAAAAGTAAAACGGCTTGAAATACTTCAATAATTGTGATTCACTGTTTTAATAATTAAATTTTTTATTATAATATCGATTTTCTGATGGATTTATTAGGGCCTCGCCTTCCACCTCGTGTGGTATAACCATTATAATGCACTTATAGAGTAACTAGCTTTTGCTCGCGGGTTCGCTCGCGTTAATTTATCCCTTTAGAGATGGAATTTATCAAAATAGCTTTATGCATGCAATATCTCAGCCCGATCGGTTTAAAATTGACAAAGTTTCATACAAACTTTCATCCCCTTGGGGGTAGAATTAAAATCCTTTCTTAACGGATGCCTACGTCATACATCTACCTGCTTGCCAAATTTCAGCCCGATCCGTCCAGTGGTTTAGGCTGTGCGTTGATAGAACACTATGTCAGTCACCTTTGAGTTGTATATATATATATATATATATATCGTAATATACTATTTAGTAAATGGTTTCTCTTATAGCTGCACCTTAGCGAGAGGAACATAATACGTGCGAGTATCCGCGGCCGGTCAGCGCCCGGCGGCGAGGACGAGTACACTGAGGGCGTGCGGTCAGCACTCGGAGAGCGGCTCGACGCGCTGCTCGACGCACTCATAGCGGACAACGATGTCCCGGCTGGATACAACGGCATACCCACCAGGTGCATATCAAGTGTATTGGAAACACGACACAGGGCGAGCTGTACCCTCAGTCTAAAGTCATATCATACAGGCAAAAGTTGCCCTCCAGTCGCTCCATTAGTCTTTCCGCGTATTTTTCAAATCGAATTCAAATTCAAAATATCTTTATTCATGTAGGTCTATTACAGACTCTTATGATATGTCAAATCTACAGACAGTTCGGAATGATTTCGAAATGAGAGGAACTGACAAAAAAGTCAGCTCGTATTTTTTTTTATGTTGTACATATTTACAATAATACTATTTCATTTAAATTCAAATTTGGGAGAATAGAGTGACCTCCAGCATATGCTATATAAAAAAATCAGAAAATCATAAAATCTAATCAGTGTTCGCAACCTGAACAGACCAGTCCCCACAAACAGCACCCGTTCACGAGTATGACGGATGAGCCAGCCATCATTGCACTCAACCATATTAGAGGGAGCACATCGACCCGGCCCACCACGCCGCCACAAGTTTGAACTTTATAGCGAACATGACTGTTTCAAGTTACTCCACTACGTCATTTATATTATTTACAGCATAAACTGTACCAATCACAGTTTTCAATGTGATATAAAATATATTCTTTGTAAAAAAAGCTTATTATAAAATTGAATTATTTATAAATGATAATAATGTTTTTGTTGAAAATATCTAACTTAAAATTCATAGCGCTGAGAATGTTATCTGATTGAACAGAGATTAATTGCGTAGCGGTTTCTATGTTGATTGTCGCATGCCTAATCCTTGTTGTTAATTAAATATAATTAAATCAGTATTTATTTAAAAGAGCAACACACAAGTTTCTTTCTTATTCGTCTTGTGATGAATCTGCATCCCGAACAAGCGGTAGGATCAAAACTTATTCAAAAGTGCTTATATTAAGTTTATTTGAATAAAAATCATTTGTATTCTATTTTATTCTATTCTGATATCAACCTGACTCTGGGACCGCTCTGGTATAGGGTTGCGGAAGACAAAGCTCAATGGAGAGAGCTGCAGGAGACCTTTGCTAAAAGGCACACTGAGTTGCGGGACATTTTGTAAACCATAATGTACCACAACCTCGGGGAAAAAGGCTTTATTATTATTATTATAAGGGTTGTTTTTCTGGAGCAAATTATTATTTTGAGCATATTTACATTTCAGTTTGTTCGATGAAATCAACGAGCACCTATCGTTTTGTCAGAAAGCAGCGCAATGCACTTCCAACAGAGAGATTACACTGAACGAGCTCAAAACGTGAGTCCATTTGTCATTAGGGAATCTTTAATAAAAAATATAGGTACTTTTTTATTACATTTTATAGGATATGAATAGAAAATATATAAAGGATGTTTATAACGTGGTAGATACATGACGGGAGACAGCAACGTGCCGCTGGCGCTGATCGGGGGCGCGGGCTGCGGGAAGGCCACGCTGGTGGCGCGCGCGGCCAGCCTCGCGCCCGCCTGCCAGCAGGACCTCGCGCTCATCATCAGGTCAGTAGGGTACAACGTGGTACATACGTGTCGGGGCGCGGGCTGCGGGAAGGCCACGCTGGTGGCGCGCGCGGCCAGCCTCGCGCCCGCCTGCCAGCAGGACCTCGCGCTCATCATCAGGTCAGTAGGGTACAACGTGGTACATACGTGACGGGGGCGCGGGCTGCGGGAAGGCCACGCTGGTGGCGCGCGCGGCCAGCCTCGCGCCCGCCTGCCAGCAGGACCTCGCGCTCATCATCAGGTCAGTAGGGTACAACGTGGTACATACGTGACGGGGGCGCGGGCTGCGGGAAGGCCACGCTGGTGGCGCGCGCGGCCAGCCTCGCGCCCGCCTGCCAGCAGGACCTCGCGCTCATCATCAGGTCAGTAGGGTACAACGTGGTACATACGTGACGGGGGCGCGGGCTGCGGGAAGGCCACGCTGGTGGCGCGCGCGGCCAGCCTCGCGCCCGCCTGCCAGCAGGACCTCGCGCTCATCATCAGGTCAGTAGGGTACAACGTGGTACATACGTGACGGGGGCGCGGGCTGCGGGAAGGCCACGCTGGTGGCGCGCGCGGCCAGCCTCGCGCCCGCCTGCCAGCAGGACCTCGCGCTCATCATCAGGTCAGTAGGGTACAACGTGGTACATACGTGACGGGGGCGCGGGCTGCGGGAAGGCCACGCTGGTGGCGCGCGCGGCCAGCCTCGCGCCCGCCTGCCAGCAGGACCTCGCGCTCATCATCAGGTCAGTAGGGTACAACGTGGTACATACGTGACGGGGGCGCGGGCTGCGGGAAGGCCACGCTGGTGGCGCGCGCGGCCAGCCTCGCGCCCGCCTGCCAGCAGGACCTCGCGCTCATCATCAGGTCAGTAGGGTACAACGTGGTACATACGTGACGGGGGCGCGGGCTGCGGGAAGGCCACGCTGGTGGCGCGCGCGGCCAGCCTCGCGCCCGCCTGCCAGCAGGACCTCGCGCTCATCATCAGGTCAGTAGGGTACAACGTGGTACATACGTGACGGGGGCGCGGGCTGCGGGAAGGCCACGCTGGTGGCGCGCGCGGCCAGCCTCGCGCCCGCCTGCCAGCAGGACCTCGCGCTCATCATCAGGTCAGTAGGGTACAACGTGGTACATACGTGACGGGGGCGCGGGCTGCGGGAAGGCCACGCTGGTGGCGCGCGCGGCCAGCCTCGCGCCCGCCTGCCAGCAGGACCTCGCGCTCATCATCAGGTCAGTAGGGTACAACGTGGTACATACGTGACGGGGGCGCGGGCTGCGGGAAGGCCACGCTGGTGGCGCGCGCGGCCAGCCTCGCGCCCGCCTGCCAGCAGGACCTCGCGCTCATCATCAGGTCAGTAGGGTACAACGTGGTACATACGTGACGGGGGCGCGGGCTGCGGGAAGGCCACGCTGGTGGCGCGCGCGGCCAGCCTCGCGCCCGCCTGCCAGCAGGACCTCGCGCTCATCATCAGGTCAGTAGAAGTTTGTAGCAGAACCGCACAAGAAAATTATCATCCCTTGGTGATATATCTTCTACTATCGACTGAATGAATTAAACTCTTTATGGTTCCTGTCATAGAAAATACAGTTACATACACAATTATGTATAAAAAGATATAAACACAATAATAAACAAAACAAAGGGGAAACAACAGGCGGCCTTATCGCTAAAACGGTTTCAAGTTACTTATGAATTATGAAGTATTTAAATCTGTCCAGTTAGTTTTTGTTTTTATTACTTACAAACAGAAAAATACACATCTCTTTCTAATCTTACTGTAAATCTGTTCCTATTTTTGTCTAAATGTTAATGGCTTACTGCATCCAAACCACGCGGAGGATTTTAATATTGTGTGCACACTGTCTTCAACAGTTTCTTCTATACGTGCATATACAACGTCTGTCACATACACTGTTTTATACACCCGTGCTGCCGTTTACTCGTGTATATGATGATTTTTACCAATCCAATTATTTTGCCTTAACATACAATTCTTTTGCAGATTCGTGGGTCTCACTTCACAGTCAAGCAGCTCACATCTATTGTTGAAATCTATTGTGGACCAATGTAATGTGCTGCATGCAGGCACTGTCTACCGGGGACGTAATGTAAGCAATATATTATATTATTACTGTAATTACTTACGTCTCTAATTAAAAGTAAATTTTGACTAATTGTTTTGTTGGGTTAAGATGTGACCCTTGTGGTACTCCTAACACTCTTACTGTAATTGGTTGTAATAAAACTTCATTTACGATTTATTTTCTCTCAATGTATTTATACTAGTTAATTCATATGTAAAATAAAAACTATTATTTATATTTTGTTTATTAACTACGTGTTAGTTACTGATTCTAATGCTTTATTAAAATCCAATTCAATACTTATGGATCTATTTCCATGATATCGTATCAAATAATTACTTGTAATCTTAATTAATTATAAGTTGCAATAATAAAGCTTTTATGTAAATCTCCAGCAGTAAATGGCGATATTTGTTTTCTTTCAACAATTCTATTTATACAGTTCAGGTTTGGGATGACCTAAGTCTAGCAATGTGTATGTCAAGTATATCCCGCTTTTCCATATCCATTACCAAATGTGTTATTCTAAAAGACAATGTAGTTAGTAATATCCTTTGACCATCTAAAAATAATGTATTATAAAACAAAAGTTAATTATTATGAATCATTATCTTAATTTCAGGATGTACCATCTTTATCAGCTGCCCTGACTCGATTACTATCGGCGTTAGGGAGAGCACGACCAGTTTTATTAGCAGTAGTAGGAGCAGATGCTTTGAGAGGCGCGCGCTGGCTGCCTTCACGATTACCTGATAATGTTAAGATGATTGTCACAGTTACTGAAGGTTTGTATATAATAAAAAATGTATGAATGAACTATTTATTTACTTTAGCAGCCAAACACGGTACATAGTTAGTTACATTAGTTACACAAAAAGCACAATCGTTATGCACCAAAATCTAAACTACATCTGAACTACAAAATTTTGTATATAAAAAAAATAATAATAACTATTTCTATGTAATTTAAATGACTAACCAGCAGACTACGCACCTCAGGGTAAACAACAACCGTCGCATACATATATTATATTTCACTAGCTACTTGCCCCGGCTTCGCCCAGGTGTATATATATTATACATATAAACCTTTCCTGTCACTCTATCTATTAAAAAAATTTCAAATCCATCGCGTAGTTTTAAAGATTTAAGCATACATAGGGACTTTGTTTTATACTATGTAATGATTATCAAGATACATCCACGGTACTACTCATGCGTTCGTTTTCAAAGAACTAAGATGTCATGCTTCTTACCTAGTAATTTTAAAGCCTAATCTGATGCCCTACAACCTACAACTGAATCACAGCTTGCAAAACAAACTGATTGACAGCTGAAATAGGAGAGATTGAGGTACCCACGCAGACAACTTTATACAGTCAATAATTTTAAACAGCGATTTAAGCACTATATGCATTGAAAAAGTCAATCCTACAATTTTAATGTCCCTGGAATATTAACACTGCGCCATCTAGTCCCAAGCTAAGCAAACTTATGTTACGGATACTAGACAACTAATGGATATACTTAGATTTTTATTGCAAATATACGCATAATACACATAGAAAACTCCCAAGTCAAAACAATCAATGATACTCATGAATACAAATGTATCGAACCTACGACTATTAGAGGTAAAGCTGTGTTCCAAACCGCTAGACCACCGAGGCCGTCAATAAAACTACATGTTAATAAAATATATTTACACCTAAATATCTTACAACATTCATTACAGAAACAGATGAGCCATCAAGCTCAGCGATCATGGCAGTGCTGTCTTCTGAAGATGGACCAAAAGTTGTTCGAGCTCCTCCCGTAGGACCGGAAGAGGCTAAAGCAGTTCTTGTGGCTTGTGCGGCGACTTACAGTAAGACAGGAGCTGCCTCACCGCCTGAAGCTGCGGTGAAAGCTGTGCAAAAGTGCACCTTACCACTTTATGCTAAGGTATATAAATTACATATGCACTATAAGAATTTCTATAAAAGAAATATAAATAAAAACAAATTTCAATTAACGTACATAATAATAAACAAAACATAATACAAAAAATTAACTTAAACTAACTTTTATTTTGAGATACCATAAATTAAAAAGTCGTGTTAAATTATTAATTAGTCAAATATATTAAAAAGACCTAAATAATGACGTTACATATAATATTCACTTCAGATATTAGCATGGCAGATATCACTGTCAGCCGAGACCTTCACTGAGCAGTCTGAACCAGAAACAGCACCAGAACTGGTCATCTGCGAAGACCTGGAAGGCCAACTGACTCAAATCCTGATAACGACAGAAGCAGCTCTTGGAGCGGAGAGAGTGAAGAATTGTTTAGCGTTACTGACTGCTTCCCGGAGAGGTTTAGATGATACAGAAATATTGGACATGCTGGCACATGACGAACTGTTCAGAAGCGAAGAGACTTATTGTAAGTGTGTTAAATTATTAAGTTAATGTATACGTATTTTTTAATTGTAATATTTGCGCGTCCGTACTGGGGGCCCAACTGAAAATCAGCGCTGGAAAATATTTCCAGCATTATGCTGAGTTGTGGCCCACATTGACTCCGTTTTTTAATGTGTAAATTATTCTTGTATTTCTTATGTTATTACTGTAAAAACGAGTTAATAAAAAAAATTCTATTCTATTCTATTCTAAATTTATATTCAACACTAAGATACATTCTGTATTATTTTTAATTATTTTCTTTTAATATTATTTTACTTATTTTCTTTTAATAACACAAGGTTGATATTTTGATTTAAAATGTTTGCATTATCCGGCTCAAAGGACCAAATCAATGAGCGGTTAGTTTAGTTTACGATAAATGAGTTTCGTTCATTCATAATTTAAGAGTCACGCTATTGTCGGTGGAGCTCTTACGACTTTCCACGATCTTCTATCATCCTCTTTATATGCTGATAGGACATGTCATTCAAGAGTTTAATTAATATAAATTACTGACTATTGGTACAAGTACTTTGTATGTTCAGCACATAGTGTATGCACGGTTCGGGACCCACGTGTTAAGTGGGTGGTAATATTATTATTATAAATTGCTTAAGAAGGTCTGATAAGAAAGTAAAAAGATCTGATAATAATGTGTTGCCGAAGTCTCATTTTTAATCAGCTAAGTACAGTCTTCCGTTACAATGTCATTATAACCGGATAACGCTCCCCATCCCGGCAGTGCCGTGGGCGCCGGCGTCCCTGTTCTGGCCGCAGCTGGCGGCGCTGCTGGCGCCCTGGCTGCGGTGGGCGGCCGGCGGCGCCGCGCGCTGGAGGGACCAGGCGCTCGCACAGCACGCGCGCGACAGATACCTCGCAGACAACGAGCCGCGCGTGCGGCGCGCGCTGCTGCACTACTACCAGGTACCACGCACAGCACGCGCGCGACAGATACCTCGCAGACAACGAGCCGCGCGTGCGGCGCGCGCTGCTGCACTACTACCAGGTACCACGCACAGCACGCGCGCGACAGATACCTCGCAGACAACGAGCCGCGCGTGCGCGCGCGCTGCTGCACTACTACTACCAGGTACCACGCACAGCACGCGCGCGACAGATACCTCGCAGACAACGAGCCGCGCGTGCGGCGCGCGCTGCTGCACTACTACCAGGTACCACGCACAGCACGCGCGCGACAGATACCTCGCAGACAACGAGCCGCGCGTGCGGCGCGCGCTGCTGCACTACTACCAGGTACCACGCACAGCACGCGCGCTGCTGCACTACTACCAGGTACCACGCACAGCACGCGCGCTGCTGCACTACTACCAGGTACCACGCACAGCACGCGCGCTGCTGCACTACTACCAGGTACCACGCACAGCACGCGCGCTGCTGCACTACTACCAGGTACCACGCACAGCTCGCGCGCTGCTGCACTACTACCAGGTACCACGCACAGCACGCGCGCTGCTGCACTACTACCAGGTACCACGCACAGCACGCGCGCTGCTGCACTACTACACTACTACAGACGCAGATACTATCTCGCTGACTGCGAACCAAAGACCTTAGAACCGGCAACTGGGTATCACCGATTGAAAATCCAGTTATAAAGTAAAGTAGTATGTAAATGGAAATTAAAATTGAGCAAAAAGCCCTCTGGCCAGCAAAGCAAAAAAGAAAAGGAGGAAATGAGTGTACCTCTATCTATGATATGAGATATTTTTTGTAAGGATGATAATGGAATAGTGCACGCGACTGCGCTAACAGTTTACGCTGGCGGAGCACGAGTGGAGGATGTCAAGATGTTAAAAACCACGTATGATATATTTTACTACCTACTCGCCCCGGCTTCGCCCGGGTGTACATGTATTATACATATAAAACTTCCTCTTGAATCACTATCTATTAAGAAAAACGCTTCAAAATCCGTTACTTAGTTTTAAAGATTTAAGCATACATAGGGACGGTCAGACAGCGACTTTGTTTTATACTATGTAATGAAGAAATATATATTCATTTCATTTCGATCTTAATAGTTATTTTAATCGTTTCAGGGTGATTGGTACGAAGAAAATGATCCTAAAATGGCGGGACGACTAATATCGCAAGAAAATAAATTTTCTGAAGAATGGTAAAGTATAATTTATATTTACTTTCTATTAAAACTTTTGTACGTAGGTACAATAATGTACGAGGCAAATATGTGATCAGCCTATCAATTAGCGTAAGACAAAACGACAGAATACCTAATTTTGGTCGTCTAGTATAAAAATAATGATAAAATTGATCATTATTCATTATTCCAGCTTTAATACAATGTCTTGTCTATTTAATAAACGTACGTCCTAGTACGTTCTCAGCCGGCATTTTAGTTATATTTTAGTGTTAAAATGAATCATTAATTCCAGTTTTAATACACGGAAACTGGACGAGATACCGTACCAACATTATCATCTGTACAAAGACGAACCAAACACATTCGCCAACCAACCTTACTTCACCGACCTCTCCTATGTATACGACAAACTAGCTGCCACAGACTGCAGCCACTTCCTCGAAGATCTTGACTTGGTCCACATAGACCCTCAGCCGGAACATATACAGATACTCAAAGAGGTGTTTGAGATACACTCATACGCTCTAGACTATGACCATAGACAATTTTACGGCCTTTTACGAACAACAATGGAGAAAAGACAACGCGATGGGATACCGATTAAAAGTGAGATTGTAGAGAATTGGTCGAAGGAGATATGGGAGCCGCCTGTACCTACTTTCTATGCGGCAAACGAGGATTTCTACAAGGTTGTGGAGAATAAAGAAAAAAGGGACGTGTCTATGGTCGAAGGATTTGATAGTAAGACGTACGATTTGATCGTACGGTTTGATACGAGAGGAAAATTTGTGGCGACCGTTTCTACGGAAAGAGAAGAGATATGCGTTTGGGATGTTACTAAGTAAGTCTATTTTAAATACTAGCTGTATATCGCTATTTCGCACGCGTGCCTTTGAAATAAATAAAATTTCTAAAATAAGTGACCTAAGTTACTCCTTATAAAATTTGCTATCTACGAGTGAAACTCCCGTCAAAATCAATCCAAAATAAGAACAAACAGACAGACAAAAAATTATATATATATTTTTTTATGTAAGTACCTTACATAAAAAAAATATACTACTACTGTGATCAAGTGAAAAGCTGTTAATTTGAAATTACAAACACTTCAATTTTTTATTTATTTGTATAGATTATGTTAGAATATACCTGCTAGTTATAATAAGGCACCAAGCTCTACTCGTAAGTTTGGTTTTATACTGTGTAAATATCCTAAGAACGAGAGTTTTTTTAATGGATGATGATAAGCAGATGATGATATAATAAGTTATTTCTTGTAGCCGTTAGTTTTCCTAATATATAAATAATTAAAATTTTTATTTACGTTAAAGCACACAAGGCACTGTAATATTAACAACAAAATTAAAAAGTAGATACACAATTATAATACATTGGTCAGTCAACAAAATACAATACAATACAGGTACAAAAAAAACGGTGTCAATAACAGTGTGTGTGTAAATAGATAAATAATACTATTAATAATTATTCATTTTGGTATTTTTTTTTATTGTCAGATGTCAACTGGTGAGAAAGCTGGTTGGTGTAACACATCCTATAAACTTGGTGCCTATAGACGAGTATAGGTGTGTGGTACTATGTCGCAGGGAACTGAGGGTCTACGATTTAGATCATGTAAATTTTTCTACAATTTTCTATAATTACTACTATTTATTTATTAATGAAAAAGTTTGTCCCTACACTTGTAATATTTCTGTCTACACTCGGCACCCTTTCGTTAGTTTCCGTCTCCACATAACTTAGATTCTTAGATTTAAGTTCAGTGAAAAGTCAGTCCACGTTACGACTCCGCGTTGAGTGTAACCGTTAATAAGCCATGTAGCACACTATCAAATAAACTTTATAATTTAGATTTTTTTCGTACTACTCTAATGCTGTTGGCCGCAGCTGGCCTTTACAGCTTCCCAAGACGATAGGGGGCGAGTGCAGATGGCACTCCAAACCTGTGGAAGGACTTATGGATCGACTGAAGTCCAACTCCCGCCTGACGGATATGACTTTAATTTGAGGGCACCGCTGGGGTTTCGAACCACTGTTCAGGCTCGTAATTTCGATCCCCGTTTGAATTGAACGATTAATTTAGTACAATTATTACACCTGTGTACTCACATTGCAGGGCAAATTCTTAGTGGCGTTGAAGGGAGTTATGAACCAAAAGATGCCGTACTACGGACTCCATGATAGCAAGCACTTGGTGGCACTCTCTAGAAATAGGATGTATGTCAATTTAATGAATATTGAAAGCGGTAAGAAATATTGTATTTTTGTAAAACTAGCTTTATTTTGCGGAACTCGGATTTGTGTTATTATGTTTAATTCCGCTACATTTAGCATGTGTGAGACCACAAATATTCAAAGATAGAATATAATTTTATATTTAGAAAGAGTGTGTTTTTTGTCTTGTATCGTTCGTAAATTTCGCTGTTGACATGTTGTGAACCTTTTACCTTTTACCAATTATAAACATATTTTTTTATAATTGGTAAAAGGTATAAGTAACTAATGGTAATATACCATTGTTACCTGTATATTATAATTATGCTGTTTTTTCTTTTTATTTTTGATGTACATATTAATTTATGTAATTATTATATTTTTCTGTGAGAGGAACAATAAAGAGTTTTTCTCTTCGTTTCATTTCATATTTTAGTTTTGTATTTCAATATATTTATTTACACTGAACATTAAACCTCTACCTATTTAAATATCTGAAGTAAATTAAAATAGTAAGTCTACATCAACTAATTAGTCTGGTGGCTGAACAGTCTTTACCAGCGTTCATTAAAGTTATTCACCGTTTATGTTTTGTGTAATCTTTAACTGTAATTAAATCGAGCTCGTTTTGTTCCAGGCGATTGTGTAACGACGTTCAAAGCGGGAGAAGACAGATTTCTTAACTCCCTACTCGTTTCTGGTGATGGAAGGTAATTGTCTAAGATGTTAAATATTGTTACTTACAAGTGTATGCAACCTACCATTATATTTTATTACTTTTAAAAAAGAAACACAGAACTCTCGAATTTTAAATATGTTATTCTCAGCTGAATCACTGGAGGGAAAATACAAATCTTTTACAGTAGTACAAAATTATCGTTTTATTTTCATAAGAATATACAGTAATTTACATATTATTATAATAATAGTATCTCTGGATAATATATATAAATATTCACACAGCACTTGTGAATACTAAATTATTGATACAAATACATATATATTATTTTGTAAATGTTATATAAAAACACAACTGATAACAAACAGACTCTTGAATACAAATGTTTGTACCGTGCGTGAAACCGAACCAGCGACCATCGAAAGTAAGACGTGTACTAAACCTCTAGACCAGCGAGGCCGTCCAATATATATTTTTATAAGACTAACTGTTACTCTCAAATTCATGAACTTTTTCTAATACAACGATTATTTAAAAGAGCAATACACAAGTTTCTTGCACGTTCTTCTAATGATTAGACAGTTTTCCAAATAAGCGGTAGATTGAAAGAAGGATAAGTGTGACTATTCAAAAGTATTTGAAAAAAGGACTTTCTATTCTATTCTATTATTGTTTCTCTTCTATGTTTAGAATCTTAGTATGCGGGGACGAGACTCAGAAACCGTTTCCATTGCTGGTTTGGTCACTGGCGTCCCGGAAGTTGCTCTACGACTTACGGATACCACATCACGACTTCATCACATCCAAAGCTGCTATTACTTATGAAGGTAAGATCATTATGGGACACAGTTACCTAGATACATGAAAATAATAATTGCATTTAATAATGTCTAATAAGACAAATTCAATATTGTCTAGCCACTGCTGTGTCTAAACTGTGTCACCCCACCTAACATTTTCCTATTGTTATTTAGTATATAAGATCATTATTTCTATGTATATATTGTCAGTTTATTACCATCTGTAATATACATCGTCTCGACCATCAACATCATGGAGTAACCGCCACGAGTATAGCAATTTCAAGAAACCTTAGAAAAACATTGAAAGCACATTGGTTTAATGATCTGCCCTTACTTACTACTCAAAGATCTTGAGTTCTGGTTGTAATAAATCGTAATACTGCATGTAGAGGGAAGAGGCTTGTTAGTTGACCCTTTTACTACTAATGTATCATCTCAGTGTGACCTTCAAGGGCTTTCTCCAGATAAAACATCGTGATGAATTCCTCGCGAATCTGCCACAATGGGCTAACCTCATATTCATCTTATGGTGCTCCGCTGGCGTAAACCGTTAGCGCAAGCGGGTGCACCATTTTTATTATCATCCATAAAAAAAATTACCATGTCAGGTTGACTTCAAACATTTCCCTCAGGAAACCATGAATGTGGTGAAACGTGGTGAAACGTGGTGAATTTGCCACTATGTGCTAACTGACCTGACCTCATACTCATCACGTTCCACTGGTTCACCATCAGCATAAACCGTCAGCGCAGACGGGTGCACCATTCTATTATCATGAACTAAAAAGAAACAGTCATTTTATGTTTATATTATTTCAATGCACCTTACGCCATTTTCTACCAGTCAACTAATTAATTAATTTTGATATAATACCAACAGGTTCGTACGTTTGCGTGGTGTCCAGAGAGCTCGACGAACCCAGTCCAAATTTCATCGTAGTGTATGATCTACAATCGGGGACACTGTTCAAGAAGTGGAAGCCAGGATGTGACACCGTGGCGCTGGCTATCAGCTCCGTGGATGGATGCGTGGTATCCGGCCTCGCAGATACTAGAATACTAGTATGGGACTTGGTTACTGGTGAGAAAATAACATTCTTTTAAAAATCGAACAGTAATGTTTGTTCTACCGAATATACAACAGACTGTGTTCTGATGAATTGTTTGACATGATGCCTACGACTACCTTTTACCATCGCACCGCTCGCTATCGCCAGGGAATTCATCCCCACATGCTGGAACCTAAGTGGTCTCGTACAGTGCGGTTTTGGAGGAGCTTCCTCCCGCGTACACTTAGATTGTGGAATGAACTACCTGCCAAAGTTTTCTTGAGAGACTACAGCATGGGGTTTTTCAAGAAGGATATATTAAGGTTTCTTAAGGGTCGACAACACGCATGTAACACAACTGGTGTTTCAGGCGTCCATAGGCTACGGTAACCGTTTACCATCAGATGGGCCGTATGCTTGTTCATTATACTTCAACAGTAAATGTTTAAAAAAACGTGTGGTGGTGTGCAGGTAACTGCCGGCTGACGTTGCGCGGGCACGTGTCTGCGCCGTCGCTACTGCGGTTGGCCAAGTCCGGCGGAGTACTCATGTCCGCAGACCGCGCCGGCCGGGACCCCTCAGTGCGGCTGTGGGACCTCCACGCGGGTAAATATTACCACTCACTATTGTTACGTAAAAATGTAAACTAAAAAAATAGATTCCAGTTACGTAAAAATGTAATCTAAAAAGAATAGATTCCAGTTACTTAATAATGGAAACTAGAAAATGTGTTTTCCAGTTACGTAAAAATGTAAATTAAAAAATATATTCCAGATACGTAAAAATGGATACTAAAAAAAAATATTCCAGGAGTTGAGTTTCTTGTCGGTTCTTCTCATCTCGAAATCATACCGAACTGACGATAGTTTTGATATATCATAAGAGTCTGTAATAGACCTACATGAATAAAGATATTTTGAATTTAAATTTGAACGTAATATTGTAAACTTTTGGAGTTAGGACATGCGTCATTCCTTGGCGACGTGAAGGCCCTTGTCCTTTTACACATTTTCCATTACACGTTTGGTTGAGATTGTGGATTGCGATTTTGTCAGCGGCCAACGGCAGAAAAACTCGTACTTGTATCCAAAATATATTCATCAATCATACATTATAATTATTGGTTCTTAAGATAGTAATAGTCAATGAACACTTTTTTTTACTACTGCTCAATATACCCGTCTATAACAACTTTGTCATTTTTGTATCCGGCCTTTTCGCGGGAACCGACAGACTGTCAAACTGGCGGTGTTGCCACAAATTAAAAAAACATATTTTCACCAACAGGCAAATTAATAGCTGTATACACACCTCCGGAGCGCATCACGTCTTGCGAGGTGTTATTAGGCGGGTCAGTGCTGGCCATCGCGCTGGAGAACTTCAAGGAAATACTGTGCGTCAAGTTGGAAGGCCCACTGGTGGAGTCAGTAAGAGCTGGCAGGGAGGGTGAGTACGATGACAAAGGATACGGCGATGAAAGCGGCGAGGGGAAAACGTTCTCTGTTAGAGGAAGCGAGGGATGCTGATAGTAACTTTAACTTAACAAATATCATTTCAATAGGACCGTGATTACGTTTAGACTACTTGGATTTATGAGTTTATATAAACAATTTTAATAATATTTATATATTTAATGTGTACATGTATTATATATATAATTTCCTCTTGAGTCACTCTATCTTTTGAAAAACCGATTCCAAATCCGTTGCGTGGTTTAAAGAGTTAAGCATACATAGGGACAGACAGCGACGTCAACTTTGTTTTATATTATGTAATGATCATCTCAAGACACAACGCCATCTAGTCCCAAATTAAACTGGTTAAATCTTGTGTATATTTACAAAAAATAAACGTATCTATGTACATATCTACAATGATATAAAGTCACTAAATGTGATCACGATCCTAAATTGTATCAAAACTCTATAAAACAACATAAATATATTGCAGTGAGCGTCTTCATTGACAGAATGTATATTTTATAACAATTCTTGTTTCTCATACAATATAATAACAATCACTTGTTTTTACAATCAATTAAATAATTAATATCATATAAATGAATCGTAATCAAGGTGAATCATTATTATAATTCAAAACAGGTTTCCATTACGGTAAAGTCGATTATGAGCTAGTGGAAGTTGATTTATCTTGGGGTCATTTATAAATTATGTTACACGTGGGTTACATGGACCGTAAAACGGGGAGGGGTCGATGAAGTGTGACAATGGGTGGAGAAGGGCGAAGAATGATCGACAAAGGCGATGTGTGACGAAGTGTAATATTTTATGACAATGGGTGGGAGACGTTATAAATTTCTAGACGTCACAATTCAAAATCTATACTTTATTAATACCTAAGTATTTAAAATGAAGATTAGACTAATTTCGGAACTGCTGTTTCTTATACTTTAATCATTTCTGAACGTTAAATAAATGTGTAGAGTAAGGAGCTCCTCACATGTGACCAGCTTATATCTGACATACGCGACAACGTCGCCCGAGGCACGATCTTGTTGATCCTGACGACCCCATAACGGCAGTTCCGTCCCCACGGGCCCACCCGTACCGTCCCGACCACACTTTTACACATACACATTACACCGTCCTCACCGGCGAAGACAACGACCCCAAACACGCCATACCGCGCAATTAACCGGGCGCCTGCGCGCGCCAGGACGTTCCACACTGGTGTCCCCAGTCGCCCCTCCGATCGATCCCCATCCAATTCAAACGGGGATCGATATTACGACAGCGTGAGCCGAGATTCGAACCCCTCGGTGCCCTCAGGCTAAAGTCGTATTCGTCAGGCGGGAGTTGGCCTTCAACAGCTCCATAAGTCCTTCCTTTGGTTTGGAGTGCCATCTGCACTCGCCCCCTATCGTCCGATGAAGCTGTAAAGGCCAGCTGCGGCCAACAGCAAGAGAGTAGTCCGAAAAACAAAGAATGTGATCAGCTGTGATGAGAACGATGAGGGAAGTCAGAAATCATTCAACTCGTGTGACATAGTTTATAGATAATCCCTTACATCTTGTGTGTCATTTCCATTTTTAATTAGAACAAATCTACTTGAAAATAACTTGAGCACGTGAAGCGTCAACGGCGCTCACTTATACTATGTTCGCTGTAGAATGGTCCGGGTGACAGTTACTAATTTTACATTTAACAATTGCTACATTTAAGTTAATACAGTTATTAATGATTTAACATATTGCGAAATACTAAGTAATCATTTGTAAATCGCGGCAACTTTTAAGAGTGAAACGAAACGTTAATCAAATATTTGGGTGTCACCCGCACCATGCCACAGTCATTAATTCGAGTTATGTACTGTAAACTCGACATATTATGCTTTTGTAGCAATATACAACTACCAAATAAAAAAAAGAAACAAAAAGTTACCGTAGAAATGGAAGCAATTTCATAGTGGGTTATACCACTCGAAGAGAGAATGAAGAAAATATTGAAATTATGAAAAAAAACATTAATGTTTTTGATCTATTACGCTTATTAATTACATTATTAAATTAATTATATTTAGTGAGTTCTCTATATGTAATGTTGATGTTTAGACGTAATTTTGTGGTGAAAAATAGCGTAAGTTATTGTAATATTTGTAAGTCAATTTTCTTTTTTGGTTTTGCATTAATCTACCTCCTATAGCTGTACTTCCCAATATATATATCTTAAAATATATACACCTTAAAAATACCTGTCTTCGATAAAATAGATATGCGTTAGCCTGTACGAATAAAAAGAAAAATATGATCTTAATTGGTCATAGACAAATCATAAATACATTATTTGTCAGTTATTTATGACTGCTATCAATCTGTACATATTATTTTAATATATTTAAGTATCTACTTTATATTTATTCTTTTATACCTAACCTTAAATACTATATAAAATTTGTACTTACTAATATAGTGGAAAGAAAAAATACCGTAGAAAAATTACGATTAAGTACTATGACCATTTTTGCACCTGTTTTATTGTTAAGGTACATCTATGAACTATTTAATTTAACACTGTAAATTTTACTACTTTCTCTTCATTTATGAAAAAATATAATTACAAATAAAATATTTCTGCTTTATTTTTATGTAACCACAGATAACATAATATAATGTAACTTATAAAATTTAATAACAGAAATTGAATGTTTAATAAATTATTTTCGAGATTTATTACCTCGATACTTACGCACAAGATTCTCCTTCAAGATTTTTTGTCATTTTGCTTTAACATAATTTATATAAGCTAAATGATTTATTACAATTATAGAGTTTCGTTCGGCGGCAAGGGGTTGATACAAGGATTTCGAGAGCTTTGGTTAAGAAAATATATTTTTTTCTCTGTAAGAAACGGCGTGCAATATATTATAATAGATTTATGTATCATTTTTTTTTTATGAATGATAATGGGATGGTGCACCCGCCTGTGTCAACCGATTACGCTGGCGGGGCATCAGTGAAGGATGATAAGATGAGCATGAGGTCTGGTCAGGTAGCCCATCGTGGTAAATTCACAATTAATTTATGACGATGGTTTCCAGGGGGAACATGGGGGGTGACATGGTACTTTGCTGGCAAAGTGGTTATTAGTCCACAATACTAACAATCCCCTTGCCCCCAATTTCATATAATTACATATTACTGGTTGTAGGTTGTACCTGTTAATTTCTTCCTAGTCACGTGTTGTGTGAGGATATATTTAGATAAGATGCTGGTTCATCACAAAAATATTTGTTAATTATTATAAGATAATATTACACATATTAGAGCATTTAAACTTTGTTCAGTGCCATTTGGAGTCCTTCGTATTTCAACAACCTTTACATGTAGTGTTGGAAATAGAGATAAAAAGGACAATTTCTATACTGTCAAATATATAGTCTACAAAAATTTTCATTACAGTTGCATGGATAATAGACAATAAAGAAACCATATGGCTGTATGGGCTAAGTTATTTTGCCTTTCCGTAAAAACGGAAAGCTTAACCAAAAAAAAAAGAAACCGTATCCTTTTATCATGCTTGTGGCGCCATTTATTTAGATATATAGGAACTAAAAATTCAAATTATTATGAATGATACTAACTATAATTTTAAGTATAATCTTGGGCCAACTTATTCTAACGCCTATATTTAATTAATATTATACTTTCAGCTGTAATATTTTTTAAATTAATTATTTCTTTCTATTAATTTTGTATTTAAAAGTCAGTTTGGATAACACGTTTTCACGAGTTTCATGTCTTCACCATAAATAGAATCCCATGTAAATAAAAAACATAAATGCAATTGAAAAATCATTTGGATTTCTTAAAATTTAGATATACATTTACGAAACTTTGTATAACTCTATGACTGTATAAATATTTTAGTGCCTACTTAGCGTAGGTTTTACGCATTAGGGCTCATTCATTAATTATATCATACATTAAACCGTGACATTTTCGATTGGGACATGTATGTACACCAGCAAATGTATACAAATTTAATATTGTTTCTGACCCTACTTGTGTGCTTGTGGAGCGTATGGAGATATTAATCACGTGTTCTTCTCCTGCCCTCTATATGATCTATCTGAGTTCATTTCACAACTCCTTCTGATCCGTGTCCCATTTCCTACATTTATTAATTGTTTGTTACATAATAGCGATACCTATATATATAAAATATTAGCCACATATATTTCATATAATAATGTCAATTTGTATGTTATCTATGTATATATATATTGTAAACATCATAAATCGTGAATTTGTGGAGGATATGAAGATGATAGTCGCATTTCATAATGTAATATCATCATCATCTGCTCCTTCCATATCTCATTCCTTTTGGGTCGGCGTAATATGTTTCTCTCTTCCATTCATCCCAGTCATATCGTTGTTGACTCTATTTTTTGCTAAATAATTTTTCACACAGTCCATCAATCTCTCTTTTGGCCTTCCTCTGCCCTTATAACCTTCTACATCATCATCTGCTTCTTCCTTATCCTATTTATTTTGGATCAGCATATCCTCAACCCGGTTCGCACTCATCTCGTATACCTATCCTTATAATCGTCTATATTAATATATAATAGTGTGAATATAACAGGGGTTGTGGATGGGGGAGGGGGTGTCACAAGAGTGACACGGATGGTGGAGGGGGTGCCACAAGTGTGACAAGGACGGAAAAGGAGAGGGAGGATCATGAAAATCGTATGATATAATTCATGGATAACCTCTTGTGAACTATACAAAATATTCTCGAATTTATATATTTAAACCCGGTATGTTAGGGAGCTCCCTAACCGAATCCGAAAAAGTTTCGGTGGTCCGAAATAATTTCATATCCGCATCCGTATCCGGTATAATAAGATCATTCCTATATCCAAAACCTATGCGTATCCAAAATTTCATATCCATAACATCCCTGATTTAAACATATGTATCCCAAGTATCTGTATAACTTACTTGTTTCCATACTTCAGTGATTTAATTAAACTTAAGCACAAATATTTCGTAATTTAATTTAAATAAGCCTGTTATAATATTGTTTAATTTAAAACATAATACGCTTAAATTCACAACTTAGTTTGGATGTAACTTACACAGATCGAAGGACATCAAAATAAAAATGTATTGTGAATTATATGTCGTTTGGATTGGATTTATTTTATTTATATTGTAATTTGTAGTGAACACAGGCTGGTCCCTGTCTTACTGATATTCTGTATGTATATTAAGTATCTTTTTATGGTGAATAGATACGATTTAAAAGTTAAGTAATAAAAAAATAAGAAATAAGACGACAGTGTATTCGATGGAGCTGTTCAAATAATTATTTATGTATTCTGGAAAGTTACGTAATTATGATACTTGATGTCCTGAATAAATTATTGGAAAATTTAACGGCACTTTCATTTGATACAACTTACCACAAACAGTATTTTTTTATTGGATGATAAAGGAGTGGTGCACCCATCTGCGCTGAAGAATTACACTAGCAGGGCACCAGTGGAGGATGGTAAGATGAAGTCGGTCAGTTAGCTCATCATGACAAATTCACCATAACCTACTAAAATAATTTTTTGATTTGGAATCCCTGTTTGAAATGGATGGGGACTCATTGTCAAATTAGAGTAGTAGGGATTTTATAGAAACTGCTCTTTCATTGTAATCCATAGCTCTACAATATGAGAAATAAGTCCGTCTGTTTGTTAACTTGTCACAAGGGGCTGAACAGATGTCACGTCATTTCCTTGCTGTATATATAGGTGTAGGGCAACTTTTATCTTTTGTTATAAAAGTTGCCCTACACCTATATATACAGCAAGTCATTTCCTTAACATCTGTTCAGCCCCTTGTGACAAGTTAACAAACAGACAGACTCAGCAGGCGAAGGCACGGCTGATAGCTAGTATTAATATAGATAATCCACATCTCTTTCTGTATCTGTCGCTTATCGTTTCTGTGCGACTTTAAAAATAAACAAAATTGTCAATATATTTTATTGATTTTTATTACATAGATATCCGATAACATTATTCACAGCAAAATAAAAATAATACTACACTACAGTCGTTGGTGTTCAACACGACTGGAATAGACCCTTCTTCCTCATCTCTTCAAACTCCTTCTCAGCATCGTATGTCCTGAAACATTCAAAATTGTTTTAATAATTAGAAAAACATTTTAAAAGCGCAACACAAGTTTCTTTATCATTCTTCGTGTAATGAGATTGCGATCCGAATGAGCGGTAGAATAAGCGTCTCGAGGGAAACCAGTACTGTGCTAAACTGGTCTAATTTAGCACTCAACCAGACGGTAATAACGCACGTAACAAGAAATATGAAGTAAGCAATGAGATAAAAAAATATGACTATATAAATGTTAATAGTTACGAAAGTTTGTAGTAAGAATGTATAGGATAAGATAAGGATCTTTGTTACTCTTTCACGCAAAAACTACTGTACGGATTTTGATGAAACTTTACAGTATGCATCAGAATATTATATAGACTTATTTAAAAGAGCAACACACAAGTTTCTTGCTCGTTCTTCTTGTGATGAGACAGCTTTCCGAACGAGTGGTAAACAATTGTTATGACTATTAAAAAGTGCTTAAATTAAGTTTATTTAAATAAATGATATGATTTTCTATTCTATTCTATATTTTATATTGAAATTTAATACAGGTGAAGCCGCGGGTATAGCTAGTGTGTAATAATTTATACTAACCTGTAGAATTCGGCATATTTTCTCTTGCGCTCGTTGCCAACGATCTGTTTGAAGGCGAACCCTGCCGCAGCAGATAAGGACAGAGCTACAATCAAATTGCGTCTGATGGATGAAGCCAGAAGGCCTCGCAGCTGGGGCTTGCTGATGGTGGACACTGCTTTATCTCCGGCCATCTGTAAAATTTTGTAATTGTGTCAATTGAAAAATAGTATTTTCTATACTTTTTTTTTATTTTTACTACTACAGTGTCATATAAGCATACGGCCGATTCGAAAAACAATCTGGTAAATGGTTAATGTAGCCTATGGACACTTGAAACATTGGAGAACACCCCTGCTAGAACATGTTGCTGACCTTTAAAAGTATTTAGCATCTGTGATAGTCTATGAGCAGACTTAATTGTATGTACTAGGGCAGGACTGTCCAAACTAGATAGGATCTAGAGCCAATAAAAATAACTGAATCCATTGCGGGCCCACAAAATATTTGTAAAAACAAAATGCAGGTAGAATATCATTACATATTTTGTTATTGTATTATTTTTTCATTAATTTATCTTTTACAATACTGTAAACATCAATGTTAATGTTTCATATTGGTGTTCACACAAATACATCCAGTGCAGTGTCCCTACTGCACCCCACTACGGCAGTGCGTTTGAAATCGTCCCACCAACCAGTCACTATTTTTGTATATTTTTTATTAAGTCAATAGTGAAATCATTTTAAGGCATATAGCATTTTTATTTAAAGTACGAGCAAAGGTAGCATCTAACTGTCCAATCAACATCAATATTGGTAGTAGCTAAATGCAGTGTATGATTATAAGAGCAGAAGAGCAGGTGAGATTACAAAAAAAAGTCAAATTATAATTTTCTTTTTATATATATAGATATCATTTCAAGAGTATTATTAATATGTTAAAGACCGCATGCCCACCAGTGGGTCACTCTGCAACATAAGTAAATTTACATGTTGGTACCGGGTGATCACCAAAGCACAATTTAATTGAAATAAATGTAGGTGTTAAATAATATCTACCTCAAATTATTGTACAATAAAAACATATTTTAAAAAATAATTAACAATAAAAAAAATGCCTGTCCCTTTGTGAGAAATAAGATATTTCAATGCAGTCTTAAATGTGTTAATAATGGTAAATAATTATATATAGACATACATATCATGCCTATAAGTATTAGGTCAATGTGGTATTTCTTGATGATGGGTAAATCACCTGACTTTACTTTCAGCATATCCTTCTGATACCACACCTACAAACACCAGTAGTGCAGGTGAATATACCAGTAACTTATTTTACATTAAAAAGAGATAACGAAAAAGAAAAATATATATTGCTTTAGTTGATATATTATTAACATAATAGTCTCTAACAAAAATAATAAAGGAACTGATGCCTCATATGGTCAATATAAAATATATTGGAAAGAATACGGCTAATATGCATCCTTCCAAAGATTTCAGTTCTCCAGTACTTGCATTTCATAGTTTATACTGTTTATTACTCATAATTTTCAAATTTGTCATGCTGCCTACATGCCCACACTCGCATTGACAACAATAATATGTTCTCTGTTATTACATATACTTTCTTCCAATTAAAAATTAATTGTTTACAAATGGTAATTTCGTTTATTACATTATATAACATTTATAACCTATATCATAAATGAAAATATGAAAGATAAATAATTTTTAGTCAGTAAGCATCGTTAGAAATACATTATTTTAGCTTCTGATTATACTTTTTACATTATTATTTTCTTCAGAAAACCAAAAATAGTGTGGATATAAGAAAAGTAGCATCTATTCTAATTTCAAAAATGTAACAAGAATAATTAATTGTGTCATTGTAGATCTTTCTTCTGCCAATATTTTTTTTATAACATTTCTTCCATTGTTTAAGATAGTTTCTAATAAAACCTAGAACTGCCAATAAATATGATCATTTTGAGTTTTACTTGTAAATTGTTAAATATCGTGTACGACTGTCAATAAAATTTTTATTACATAACAGCCATATCTTAGCCGACAGTAATTTATAAGCATTATTATATTAAACGAAAATATTTTCATATTTACAAGGAAATGTACATTTTATTTTGATTACTTACCTTATTAAAATGTTTAATTTATATTTTAGATGAAATGCAGTGCGAACACAAGTGAAAAATAATTACTTTATCAGTTCGATTTCAATTACACTGTGACCAGAGTTTAGTTAACTGCAGTTCAGCTTACTCTGTGCAGTGCGATATATATTCAGCTGTAACAGTATACTAAAATTCTATATTTGAATTAATTTATTCATATAAATTATACGATTAATTAAGGAGAATGTATGTTACTTTAAAAAATTTTGTACAATTGCTAATTTTATGTATGTTTCCATTGGCTGACTCCTTGAGTATTTCAATTTAACCAATCAGTAAGTAGTCACAGAGCTCTGATATGTCAAATAATAAACAGTTTGTTTTCTTTGTTTATCTGTTTTTTGACCGCTAATAAATTTACAAATATCTTTCACATTACATATTTGTAACTACGCCACATTGTTTTTTTAATAACTCGTTTTTTATTTAAACATTTATAACAAAAACGTGTTCACTAAGTATTAAAACCACGTAGCGATATACATTAAAATAATGTGACGCAAGATTTCATGATTATACTGTAACATCATCTACCTTGACTGGTCGTGACTTTGATTACCACGGTCTCATAGTTTATTTTACCCATGAGGTCGTGATTTTTGTGGTTGTTATACATCTTCGCCAATTTTAAACCAATATTGGCGATTGCAAGCAGTAGAATTTACACCGCCCTGATTCCATATTTTCGTAATGAATGAAATCGATATTTAAATTGTCATAAAATATAATTTCATTAAATATTATCTGTATAATACCTACCTACTGCTGGAGAGCAGGGGTGGGCAGTTAGTAATAGGAATTAGTGAGCAATCTAACAATGTCATGTCAGGTTGAGCTCTACGCAGTTTCTTCTGAAAACACTTCTAGTTAATTCCTGGCGAATTGATTACATCATCTTATCATCCTCCACTGGGGCCCCGCCAGTGTATATTGTTGACACAAGCAGATGCACCATACCATATTCATTCATAAAAAAAATAACTCCTAATAGTGTAATCTGTCCTGGATTCCGGATTGTTATATAAAGGATCAGGAAACAGCGACCGATCCAAAATTGTAACATTGTATCCGTTATACTCGTAACCGGATGCTGCGTATATGTAGATAAAGATATTGTCTTGTCAAGTAATTGTTTTAATATTTGACTTCAACTGAGATTTTAATTCTTTCTTTTAAATACCTAATATATACAATTTTAGATACCTATGTACTATATAATAATATATAGTACATAATGTACCATACTTACACTTCCGATGGTCGCGGGTTCAATCTTTGTACGATACAAACCTTTGTATACATGAGTATGACTGTAAGTACATATTGGTCGAAATATTGTAATGTAAATATCTCTTTACAAAAATGAATCTACATTGAAATACCATTAAAACAACTAATGTATAGTCGTTTAATATCTCATAGTAATAAGCTTTGCTCAATTCGGGACTAGATGGCGCTGTTAGAAATTTCAGAATGATTGTCACAAACATATTATTCATTCACATTGCCTTCTGTACATGTTAATTTAAATATATTGTTAATCCCTAACTTAGATTAATTTAAATTAGTTTAACTGTTAAGTGCCCCAAGAGTCTGTCAACTCAATTACCCGGAGGTTTTTAACCCCGGAGACGATGCCGGGGCAAAGGGGCTCGCCCCAAGGCCCCAATATTCACCCCCCTTGGGGGATACAGATGACCAGTGTCATGCTTCTGCAATGTTCCTTGGTTTTATTTCAATAACCAGTAATGTCCATTTGACTGTACTATTACAAAACAAACATATAAGTAAAACAATAAAATATTTTTTATTCATTTATTAATAAACTAACTTTACAAATTTAATAATAGCAGAACAATAATATTCCGTATTTCTTTTCATTCATAATAATATGATAATTATTCACCATGACTCATCGTACTTTATGAATATAATTATATGATTTAAAAAATAATCTAGAACGACAGTGAAAGCAACATACAGAAAATAATGCACAATAAAAATTGGATAGTTGAATAACTTCATAAAATTGCCAGCAACGAAAATAAATTACAGGCATTTCATTATGTTCGATTCACCTATATCATACGGACGTGATCGCCCTATTAACAACACTAGAAAAAATATTACAATAACGTAAAATTAAATTTTATTGTATCAATTCTTTTATATCTATTTCTGCATTCTATTTACAAGTTATATAATGTTTACATACCAAAACTATAAGCTATATCGTGTGTGGTGTAACACCTATGCTATATTTATAGTGTTAAATCTATTTGTATTTCTCTTTTTCGTACATACATAATGTATAATATATTTTATCGGCATAAATTACTATCAATTAGTCGAAATAATAATAAAAAACAAAACAAGTAACTATAAGGATTACTATACACCCATATACACATCTATCTGAGAGTCCATCCACTAGAATTATATGTTACAAGCTTGCATATCGTTACGTCTCTATATTACAGTATAAGGCTTTTGCATTCCTACGGTACGGTACGGGCGCGAGCGGCCGAGGCCAACGCGTACCTATTTACAGCTACTCCCAAACAAACGGTTTCAAATAATAAAAAAAACAAGTACTTAACGTGTAACATATATTAATTTCCCCATCTATACATAAAAATTTACAAGAGATTGTACATCAGCCGGACCGATAATAACTAATCATATTAAAACGATAAAACAAACGGTTCACGCGAATGATACCGGCCCATCGGCCATAGACAACCAGGGCACCTCGCCTACTCTACCCACAATGCACACACCACTTTCCACGGCACACGTTATAGGGCACAATTTTATCAGGCAATTATATACTTAATTCATAAAATATTTCCAATACACTATACATACTACGTACGTACTAACAGTTTGTATTGTAGCACTATCTGAATTATAATAGAAAACATTTAAACGACGTCAAAAAGTGGGTATAGGGGAGGGGGTGTTGTTATAGAAAATAGGATCACAGTATGTCAATACGAGACAATATATCTGCGTACAACGTTGTAGGCGAAGACATTGAAATAAACAGGGATAGAGACTGAATTATAGAGTACTTAATAAATACAAGCATCGAAAGGTAAACGGTAAGATAAAGCTGTCGAAAACTTGGTGTCTTGTTGTAAACTAAGTCACATCCATGAATTATTGCTTTGGATACACACCTCTTTAGACTTAGGAACCGTAAAATAAACTGGCAGGCATGTTCATCATTACAATTTCATAATAAAAACGCATCGCTTAATTTCCTGCCAAACACTAAAACGCTACAAGGTTCATTTTCCAATGGATTAATTATTTCTGATAATTGATGAACATGATTCCGTGCCACCGTACCAGATACAACTACAAATCTATGCTTCACTAAGTGACTGTATTTTAAAAATGGTGATCAATAAATACTAGCGTCTAATTAAGAAACTAATAATTTCAAAATACAATTTATTTATATACAGTGCAAAAGAAAAGCTAGCCTTAAACGTATGCCTAAAATTCACTGGTACAATTTGCTTTTAAAAATAGATCGACGGTCAAGACTGAGGGAAAGTCAGGTAAAAATTATAAGAGGCATCAAAACATAATAGATTAGTATACTGGAAGCCCAAACAGACAAACTGTTGAAACACTCAGTCACAATTATTATCCTTTTCACTATGAAATTATACGTCAGTTTCACATATAAATTACAATTATTGGTCGTGAATTCACTTATTTAAAATACGCTAACGTTATCGTAATAGCAGCCAGTGTTTTTATAGAACGGCGCCATGTTTTATTTAAGCTACGTTGCTATTTAAAAAAATAGATGAAACGTTATGAAAATTTAATAGAAAAAAAAAACATTCGATATAGCTATATTGCTGCAGTATTATTTAATATGAAAATAATCATATTTACAATACAATACCACATACACATAGTTCTTTTTTTTGTATTTATAATCTGTATTAAAAATAACGCGGTAATTATTTACAGAATCTTACCACGTTTTGAATCCAATACCCGACACTAACGGCAGTGTTGCCAACTACCTTGACGGATAAACTGCTAGATATCATAAAAAACAAACATGGCGCCCTCCCATTAAAACCTAATACTACGCGGCGTTGACGTCCGTCCGACGTCCCGACGACGTGCAAAAACGTATGAAAATATGTTTTTAAAAACTTTATGCATTTATTTCACATTTATATCTCTCGGGTATTAACCATGTGCCTATAAGTCGAGTGCTCTTTTGTACAATAATTACAACACTATTCGCTAATAAACTAAGGCAGCCGCGGCGCAACAATATCTAGTTACGGCCGGGCAATGATACACTGACATTATGCCTTAAAATTACTCGAAAGAAATAAACCTATTTATAAATTGCGTGCGTAGTATAGTGAATGGTAACATGATTTGTTCACTAAATAACATTAAAAAAAGTCATAAAAATAAAATTGATAATATCGTTACAAATACGCGTTCCATTCCACGCATGAAACATAGCTGTACACAAGTAAAACTGACTTAAATTTAAAAATATAATAACAGCGTTGCCAGTTTCATAATGAACGTAGAACGCGAATTTTTTTACCAAAATTGCGAGCGTCATACATAGAGTTCATTGAACACTATGTATTTATATAAACGCGAACAACCGATGATTTGATTTGTACTTAGTAATTAATTAATTAAGGTGCATCTTTATAAAGAATTTTAAATTTCATTGAATACGTAAATTAAAGTTAAATTGCAATATCTAAAAAAACAGAGAATTCGACTCGAAGAGCCTGAAATACTATAAAAGTGACTTTTATGGCTTCATGAGAATATTTTAATTTTAATATAATATAAAAAATACGGAAATTTCTTGAACACATTAGCTTAATTGATTTATAAATTCTACCAAACAATAGACAAAATACCATATGCTAATATTGTGAAATGGCAACAAATTTTAACATACGGTACGTGTCTGCAGACCACAGACAACTTACGCGTTCTATAATTTTATGAGATTCTTAGAATAATCGAATATTCTACTAGAAACCATGCGATTAAGAAAAATATTGTTGTATTAAAAAAATACGGCTGGCATTCTGGACAATCATTAAATAATCATTACGTGTCAACTTACAACATGATTTAAAAATATATATATCTAGTAAAAATGTCATAGAAAATTAATAAATATGTATTAGATTAACATTTAAATTCAAAATTACAATAATAAATTATATAAGGGGGGCGAAGGGAACGCGGAACGCCCGTATCAAGAATGCCACCCGTAACATCGGTCGCCGCGTTCTTCATAACATTCATCTAGCGTTACATTGAGCAGACTACGCAAGATAACGCTAAAACATTTTAAAAAGATACCAGTTTACACGGGCTGTATGGGATGACGCATTTAGCCTCAGTACATAAAAAAAATAAAAATAAAATTGGGCAATAACGTCCTGCGTCCGCTTGGCAAGGGTACAAGAACATATACTATTGTATTTATTGTTGTATCCTTGCCATATGCAAAATTACATATTTTCATTGGTAGACGGGTCGCAAGTGTATTATAACTTTCTAATTTATATTATTTATAATATGAAGTATTACTGCTTATGAAGAGAACTAAACAAAAATAATTATTTTATTGGTTTCGTATATGTATAAAGTTATGTGAGAAAGCGACTAAGATGCGTGAATGTTTGCTCAATGTACCCGCCAGATATTAAACTTAGAATCGTTGCTACATACAGGCAGCGGAAAATCGTTAAGCCCGACTTTGACGTTGCATCTAAATGGACAAATCTGAACTACTACAATTGTTTACAAGGTCATTTTAAGGTTTTTAAACGACTACAAATACTATTCTTTAAAATTAAATAAAATATATATTCAAGTGAAAAAGACAACTTTACTTCATATATCGGAAAGTTTTATCCTCTCATCTGGGAAGGAGCCAATTATTGATCTCAGACACTAGCTCCACCTGCGACAAGTCCTGTAATTGGTCTCACAGATGAGGCGTTAATGTCATGCTGTCAGCTAACACTTGAAAGGTTATGTGAATAAAAAACGTTTAAACCTAATTGTAGAAGACATTTAGGCGAGAAAAAACGAAAAAACGTGTCCACTTACTACAAATATCATCATTTGAAGGCTATCCAACTCCACATCCGTTTCGTTTCGTCATCAAAGTCGAGCTTTACGAACGTCTCTAGCCACACCTCGATGGCTAAAGCGTGAGTATACCGGCAGGGAGTGTGGTCAGTCGGCGAGTGCGGGCGGGGTCAGTGAAGCAGCAGGGGCGTCCTCAAAGGCCTCTGCAGGGGCGACTCCAGGGTTAACTGCATGGGCCATTGCAAGGGCGGCTCCTGGGGTAACAGCACGGGCCGCTGCAAGGACGGCTGCAGGGGTGTCTCCAGGGGCGTCTGCAAGGGTCGCTGTAAGGGCCGCAACAGGGGCGTCACCAGAGCCATTTGCAGAGGCGTCAGCAGGGAGGTGTGCAGGGGCGTATGCAGGGCGGGGTGCAGGGCGGCGGGCGCGGGGCGGGGTCAGTCGAGCAGCAGGGGCAGCGGCAGCGGCAGCGCGGGCGCGGGGCTGAGCTCCGCGCGCCGCCGCCGTCACTTGCCGTCGCGGGAGGCCCGTCTCCGGCGGACCGCGCTCGCAGCCGCCGCCGGCGTACCGTCCCCCACTGCAGCACAAAACTACGGTTAAATCCGATCGCATACCTACATACAGGGTGGCCCAGAAGTCACTTTACATTTTGAAAATTAAATAACTTTTTTTCTATTAATATATTTCTTTTTCTCTTTTCAGAATTAAAAAATATAATCCCTGGAAATTTTTATCATGGATAAGTTTACAACAGAACGAGTGAAGATAATTGAATTTTACTTTGAAAATGGATGATCAATTGTTGCAACGCAAAGATCGTATATGCACCATTTTAATGTTCGACATCCCCTTAGTAGGCCTGCAATAAGGAACTTAGTGAAGCGTTTTCTAACAGCATGGCTCTGTAAGTGATAGGACTAGAAGTGGACGAGGTCTTTCACGTTATACGTGAAAGTACTGAAGCTGTGAGCCGTAGCATTGAAGAGAACCCAACCACATCCACACGAAGGCGAATTTTCGAATAAGCGATGAATTAAAAGGAACTATGACTATTCAAATGTGCTTAAGTTTAAGTTTATTTGAATAAATGATTTCTATTCTATTCTATTCGCCCTCATAATGACAAATTCCTAGTAAATTGGTCATGACGGCCTAACTAACCCGACCTCATATTCATCTTATCATCCTCCACTGGTGCCCCGCCGGCGTAATACCGTTTGCATAAGCAGGTGTACCATTCAATTAAAGAAAATTGAAATAGCAAACCAGCTGATGGCTTGTGCTGCCATTCTTGAGGACTAAGATATGATGCCTCTTATCCTGTGATTTCACTGCTTATGCCTGTTACAATGATGGTCGTGGGCTTACCGGCACTCCTGGTTTTCCGTCGGACGGGCGTGGTGGCGGCGGGCGGGGCGGGCGCGGGCGCGGAGGGCGCGGGGGGCGCGGGCGCGGGCTGCGGGGGCGCGGGGGGCGCGGGCGGGGCCCCGGGCCCGTGCCGCACCGAGCGCCGCGTGCCCACGCCCTCCAGCCCCTTAGTAGGGACCTTCACCGGCCGCGCTCCCTTGCCAGTCTTCCCGCGCACTTTACATATCAGGGGCTCGTCACTATCACTATCCGAGTCTTTCTTCTGCTTGACGACGCCCGGAGCGACGACCACCGGGGGTCGCTGTCCGTCGACCCGCCGCGGCTTCTTCTTCCTTCCCGCCTGCGAGACTCCCTCTTCGCAGCTGAGGAGCGACGTACCGGAGCTTTCCGATTCGCGCCGCTTTCGCTTCCCGGGGACGATTTTGGCGGGGGCGACGGGGGCGGCGGGGGCGGTCGGCGTCCTTGGACTGGTCTTGTCGACGGAGCCGCCGCGTAAGCAGTTCCTCTGCTGCAGCGCGGGCGAGTCGGACCGCTCCAGCTTGGAGATGCCGGGGCTGAGCCTGGGCGTGCGCGGCCCGTCGGCCGGACTGTTCATCTTGCTGCTGGAGCGCGTCCTCACGCTGCTGCGCGCGACCCGCTCCAGCGCCGACGGAGACGGTGACTCCGGCCTCCGCCCCGCGTAGTCCTGCGTTGGAATCTCGATCAGCAGCTGTTCGAGCAGACTCTTATCGGGGAAGTCGGCCTTCAACGGTAGCCGCTCGATCTTCGGCTCGGGCTTCTCGTCGTCGGTCCGATGCTTGTCGGGGTCCCCGTTCGCGGCCAGCGGCTCCTCCTTAACTTCCGGCGGGTCGACGGCGCAGGTCTTCTCTTGATTCGAGTACGTGTAGAGAGGCGGCGACACCCTACTCGGTAGGGGGTCGAAGTCCTCCTTCTTCGGAGATACAGAGTCTTTCCGATCCTGGTCGAGGTCGGACTTCGATTCGTCCCGCTTTTCAGGCACGACTCCGTCGCCCGCGTCGCCGGCCTGGGTCCGCTTCTCGTCGTCCCTGAGGATGGGCGTGGGTTCTCTGGTGTGCGAGTCGTCGGGGGGTCGGCGTGGGGCGTCGTCCCCGTTGATGTGGTCGGCATGCATCTTGGCGAGTTCCGCCTCGATGTCCCCCAGATGGTCGATATCCGGCGGGCCGGGATCGTAGTGCGGCTGCCCAGTCGCCATCGACAGCCGCTCCAGCAGCTCGTCTGAAGACGGCGCCGGATCTAGCACGCCTATTATTCTTTGCACAGAGGTAGGGCTCGTGGATCGGGGCATATCCAGACGTTCCTTCCTCTGGGGGCCGGGCGGCGATTGGCTGGCTTGATTCGGTGACTTCTCCGACAACGCATCCATCGACTCGATGCCGGAATCCTCGCCTTGCGCCTGCGAGTTGGGCGACCGGTTGCTGAACTTATCTTCCGGCCTGGCGGCTCGCTCGGCCATAAGTTTACAATAAGACTTGTCTTTGGGCCGTTCCTTGCGCCTTGGGGACTGTGCCCCGCTGCGTTGTGTTACGACGGGAGGCGGCGAGTCGACGCGTGTCGTCGCGATCGTGCCTACGTTGGTCGAACCGGGAGGATCTGTAACATAAATATTCATTAAAATTGTGTGCCACTGATAGTTGAATAATTGTTCCAAATTATCACTAGATTATACTAGTCATTTAAATGTAAAATACACAATAGATTACATTTAATTATTGTTTAAAGGTGAATAGATTACCAATAAGGATAGAAAAGTAAAAAGTAGTAAATCTACTAGTTTTAATTTAAAATGAATGAAGAAATGAATTTTATGTTACAAAATAAGTACTTTAATGTAAATGAAAATTATACGTATAATTAACTATGATTTGTAATTAATTAACTATGGAATCTATACAAAATCTCTCTCTATACAAAAAGGTACAAAATTCAATAACTATTTAAATGTTGATCGGAAATACGAATATTTATGTCACTTCATGCAAAATAAACAATAGTAGGTAAACGACACGTAAATGCGTGTCAGAAATTATTTATTACCATTTAGAACCATATAACAATATGTAAAAGAGCCAATTTGCAATAAATTTTATTTAATCATAATTATATCATTATAATAACACTTAATTGTACGATCATCGCACATAAACTTACATATATAAAATTTTATGTGTACAAGATGAATATAGCTTTATAAGAAGCAAGGCCGATAGTTAACAATGAATGAGTTTTATTATCTTCAAACATAGTTATTATTTCTTCTAAAAAGAGTAATTAGATTTACGTCAAAGTTTTACAATAAAACTAATTGAAAACATTATTTAAAATGACTTGAAAATCATAATTAAATTAATATTTTAGTATACACAATTACAAACAAACAAATATAATTAAAAAAATCACTGGACCTTACCACGTTTGTTATAGTCCCGATATTTCAGCAATGTCATAATACAAGATTCCGTGATTTTCTTAATTATTACATATTAGTTATGAACGACCGCCGCCGTCGACCGCTTCCCGCTTCCCTATAACACGGTAGATTGGTTCCGCGTTATAGAAAAAGGGAGTTATAGAAAGAACGCGTTTTTACGACCCCGTATAACGCGTTACGTAAAAATTATACACGTTTAACTTTTCTCGCTATAGGAGGTTTGAATCGAATATAAAGAAAAAAACTATGTTATGTACGTTTTATTAAAAAATCAAACCTTTAAATATACATACTTTTAATTTAATTTTATAACACAATTGACACACGTTAGAGACTAATTATGAACTGTACAAATCATTATAAATTTCAGAGTCCAAAAATATAATGTAGGAAATTCACACCGCGTTACATGAGCCGATGTCCCGTGTTATATGGAGAATTGTAATCGCGTAATATGAAAATGCGTTATACTGATTACTGTAAATCAATTAACTAAGAATATTAGAATAATAACAATAAAGTTACTAACATGTTGACATTGCTAATATTATACAAGTAATAATATCTATAAACATTTTTCTGTACACATATTTTTTATGTAATAGGAACGAGCGGACCTTGATAAATGTTTGTATACATCCACTGCTCATATCACGTTATCATGATACCATTCATGCATTGCTATTCTTGATGACAAAATGTCATGTCTAAACCTGTAATTTAATTGCTTTATCTCACCCATAAACCAAAAGACAGCTGAAAAGGCGAGCTGCTTGGTTGCTGAAGTAGGTAAACAAAGTAGCTTTTTAGCGAAAGTTTGTCAGTATGGATATCCATCTATGGATGAACGAGCACTGAATAGATGAACAGACTTTTTGCTTTTGCGACAGCATATGCTGGTGGTCACTCTATTCTACCAAATTTGAACTTAAAAATGAATCATTTTTACGAATCATGTACAACAGTTATTTGAAAGGAATACGAACTGAGTTTCTTCCCAGTTCATCTCATCTCCAAATCATTCCGAACTGACGGCAGATTTGACATATCGTAAGAGTCTGTAATAGACATACATGTATAGTTATTCTGAATTTGAATGTTACCTCTTTCACGCAAAAACTTAACAGGATTTTGATGAAATTTTACAGTAAAACATCAAAATAACACAGGCTATAAATTTCATGCCTGTAAAACTGTGGTCACAGATAATTAATGATATTTTTATGGTACACAATTTTATATCAGCATATTAAAATATATGTACATTTTATTGCATATTTATACACTCTGTTCAGAGCGACAATTGACTTATTAGTATGTATATATACAATTATGTTTGCTCAAGAATAAATACATTATTCTAGTGATTATTTTATATAAATTTTAATAATAATTCATCCAAGAAACTCACTCATAATATAGCAGTACTGTGCATACAGAATAATTTTACAAAACCACGTAAGGAAATAATAATTACAACCAATTCTTAAGTTGGGTTAAATTGTACATATTTTAGATTGTATCCTAGGTAACTCCCTACTTAGTAAAGAATTCTAATCGCCCACCGAAGGGGGGTGCTAAAGGTTTTGTCTGCCTTTATACAAAGGTTGTTTGGAAGAGTTGGAGATTGCTTACGATAAAATCATTTTTGTGTTGTGTATATATAAATAAATACCTTTACACTACATGTTTATGTTTTCCAGTTTTTATTCATACATACACACAAGATTCTTCCGCATTCTTCTTGTGATGAGTGTATGTTTCGAAGGAGTGGTAGAATTAAAAAATATGACTATTCACAAGTGCTTATATTAAGTTTATTTGAATAAAGATTATTTCTATTCTATTCTATTCATAATACAATTAGTCGTGCCCGCACTTTCGTGCATTGTAGACACTCTTTTAATAATTATTTATCAAAGGAACAACAATAAATAAAGTATCATTATTTCATTATGAAACTAATTAATACAACAGTTTTGAAACTATTCACAAAATTATTTCATCCCTTTAGGAGATTTCTTTGTTACATTTCTATAATTTATCTTTTGATCCATATTTAACATGTTTTGTGAAAAGAGTGACGCCAAAATGCCCATATAATTTAGCCCGTATTTTGCATAGTGGTCTGTAATATTGGGTTTGGGATATGCTTCTTAATTAGTAGGATTGTTTGTCCAAGTGTCGGTTCTGGGAGCCTTTGTCTTACTGAGAGTTAGTGTTCCAAAACTTTGGAAGTCATCAGGTGCTGCCAGCAGCGAGTATGCTATACCGGATGACCAGAGACTGGTGGAGAGATTGGACTAAGCTTGGCGTCACTCTTTTGAATTTCTACATAGGTTTTTATAAAAACTGTATCACAAACAGTTTTGGCGTCGTCATGATTTTACGATTTTATTATAAGAAAAAGAAGATAAAGATGTCAACGTACCTGGACAGGAACTGTGGCTGGTTTTCCTCTTCTTCTCAGAAGTGAGCAGCCCATTGGGCGAGGTAATTGCACTTTCGGCGAGTGTCCGTTTTAGTTTATTGTCTGTATCGCGCCGTTCTAACTTACAGTCTTCCTCATTTATCGTCCGTTCTAAGCACTTCAGTAGTCTGCTGTCCAATTCACTAGCACCTTTCACATTGTCACTATTTGTGTCTGATTGCACTGCTTTCCCACTTTCACTGGGCTTCATATCACAATTTGCACCATTATCTACTTTTGCTGGTAACTTCTTTTTAACCTCATGGTTATTTGACTCTCTGTACCCCTCGTTCTGCGCGTATTTCCCCTCTTTGTCCAACATATCATTCCTCCATTCTTTGTCACGTTCCTTCTCTATAGATTTTCCATCACAAAGTATTTTCGATTTTTTCTTCTTTATACTGTCTAACTGCACTTTATTATTCAGTTTGTGGTCATGTGATTTGGAAACTATATGTGCTGTCTTTGATATCGACTTCATTCTATAGACAACATTGTTCTCGCCCGTTACCTCCGTCTTCCCTGTTTCACTTTCATTATAATGGTTGTTTAGCTTTATACTTTTGACTAAATACTCATCAGTCTTGTTTTCAGTGCTCTCACCTGATTTTGACGCTAATGATTCTTCAGAATCTCTCCGATGCACTTTCTCCTCACCTTCCAGTGCTTTCCTGATTTTGATCTTTTTTGTATGCAGATCACCCGGGCTGAACTTTTTCTTCTCTTTCTTAGAGTTTTTTATAACCGCTGAATTTGGACCTTTAAGGCTTATATGCAGTGGTGGCACCCTAGGCACACTTTCTTTTGGTTTCTCACCTTTAGGTTGTTGATTAACGAAGCTTATATCTGCTTTGTACACAGGCTCATTTTTATCCAATTTTAGCCTCAATTTTATTGATTCCTTCTCTCCCGACGGCGACTTGGGAGCCTCGCTAGCAGGCGTAGCCGGTTTAGCTATGTTCGGCCGTGATAAGGCAACTTTGGTCTTAACATCTTTAACAAATTTATCTTTCAGCGAAGCTGGTTTCTCTTTTACGCCTGGCGTCCTAAGGTTCCCAGTTTTCGCGGTAAATTTATCGTCCTTGTCTTTCTTGATGATTTTATTTTTCAATTTTGAATCATCCTCTGAACTTTTCGCATCGTCTTCAGCTATTGTCGATTTTGCTATGCCGAATACTTCTGGCGTATCACTGGAATTCTCCCTTAATTTACACTGCGCAACTGTTACCTCCTCAATCTTTTTCTGCTCTTTAGGTGGCGGAGTGTCATCGTCTCTCATTAGGGTCTTGATCAGGTACTGTTTGCTCTGCTCCTCGATTTCCTGTGCTGTGGCTTGGGAGCCAACCGTCGCTGTCGAGACTGACGTAGTCGCTCTGACGGGCAACCTCATGGGAGGAGGCATGGATGAAGACTGACTTGACTGTGTCATTCTGTCTGAATTTATACTAGGCGATATGCTATAAGCATTCACCGTGGATTTGAAAGTCTGCTGCACATGACTTAACACGTGGTTGGGTGATGTATTCGTCCCGAACGCTTTTGACGTCGACTGCTGCGGGACTGGGGGAGGAGGCATGAAGGTGGACTCATTGGTAGTCGTGAAAGAGTCCTTTGAAGGCACATCGCTCATATTCGTGTGACCACTAGTGGTCGGATTGCTGGGTTCTGGATATGGACCGTTTAAATTCGAACTACTATACTGGACACCGGTGATTTCTTGTAACAAAGAGTCAGGAGTGTGTTGTTCAGCCGATGTCGTCGGTAACTGTTCTTGTTTCTGTTCGTAAATATTCTCGAGTTTGTTATTATCGGTGTTGGAGAGTTCAGAGATGGCTGAGAGCTCTGAGATGGTGTCGTCGAGGTGGAGGTCACCGCCGAGGGTGGGAAGCAGCTGGTCTAGGTCACAGTTGTCAGGCAGGTCCGGAAGGTCAAGCGTATCCCGATACGGTTCGTTCCAGTCCGGTTGCGACGCCGCCCGTTGAGTTGCAATGTATTGCTGTTGAAATCGCTGGAACTCCTGCAATTAATATTGAATGTGAATGTTTTAGTACATAGACAACACTGCAGTTTTAATGTTACCTCAGATCTATGATAACTGTTTTTTTTTTATATATTATAAGCTTTTCATGTGGTCTCATATACATTACAAAAAAATAGTTTTTAAGTTATCCTTAATAATGAGATTGAAGTCAGCTTTTTCGTGTTTTGTACACGTCTAATAACTCTGCTTTCTTTTAAAAACCAAAAACAAATCAGTATACAATTCTAAAATCTACCCAGACTAAATAATAATACTAAATAGCCATTTTAACACTACAAAACCAAAAATCCACGCACTTGAAATCTCGACCGCGTCTTCTGATCCATCGACGTGGTCGACGGCGGCAACAGAACCTTCAGGTCCTCCGGCGTGAACCTCGCCTGGGGCGTGGGCGGCGTGTGCTGCGGGGGGTGCGCGGGGTGCGCGGGGTGCTGCAGGTGCGGGAGCGGGGCCCGGGGCCTCGGCGCCGCCTGCCGGTACGGGGGCGGCTCCCCCGCGAATCCCGGCGGGGGGAACCTCGCCCGGTTGAGGACCGTGTTGGGGGCACGATATGTTGCCACGGGGGACGCCGCCGGTACCGACGTGGTGACGGGCGGCCGTGGGGGGTATGCGCGCCGCACGAAGGGCGCGGGGCGGGGCGAGGGGGGCGGCGCGGGGGCGGGGGCGGCCCGGGGCGGCGGCGGCGGGGGCGGGGGCAGCGCGGGGCCCACCCCCGGGGGCGGACCGGGCCGCGCCGTGGGTCGCACCGCGCGGTACTCGAACGGTGCCCGTCCAACTGCCAGCTCCACCTGTTCATATATTGTACAGCATGTAATCTCTACTTACAATTTAAGTGAACATGAAAGAAAGATTATTCAATGTTCAGACAAAGTATTACAGTTTATGATCATGTATTAACACAATGTAACTTTTTCTATGAATTTTCAGTATTTTCAATTACTGTCTTCGTATTCTACTCACTCCTTCTGACGCATTTATATTTATGTCACTAAAAATCTCAACATTTATTCCATGGTTTAATTGTAAAACACTATAAAAAAGGTTTTTTTGTGACGAGTCTGCGCTCCAAATGGTATAAAAATATATGACTATTCAAAGGTGCTTATATTAAATTTATTGGATTATAGATAATTTCTATTTCTATATAACACATTTACCTGTCCATCGTCGAGACGATCCAACTTGGCCGGATGCGGCGGCGGCTTCGACCTGGGCTGCGGCGCGGGCGCATCGTTCTGCAGCAGGTTCACCAGCAGCGGCGAGGACATGGCCACCGTGTGCGGCGATGGCAGCGAGGGGGGCGCAGGGGGCGCGGGGAGCGAGGGGGGCGCGGGGGCCGGCGACGAGGCGGCGGGGGCCGCGGGGGACGCGGAGGGCGAGGGGGACGGGGCGGGCGAGGGCGCGGGCGGCGGCTGCGCGGGGTACGGGGGCGGGGGGCCCGCGAACGCAGACGTCGACGGCCGCACGAACATACCGTCCGCGGGCGGCCTTATCCCACTTGATGGCCCGCCTAAACCTGTGTGATGGTATGCATAGTTAAGTTAAGGATTGTGCTAAGTAGGGTGAGACTAGAGGAGGGAACACTACAACTGTTTAATAAAAAATGGTAATAATTGTATACATATGTACATATAATTTCCAAGAGTGCGCACAGAGTAAAAACTCACATATAAAATATGATACAAAAAAAATAAAAAAAATGATGGACAAGCTGTCAGCAATATAGGATATAAGAGATTCTATTTGTTTAAAAAGAGCAACACACGATCATATTTTTTGTGATATATCCGAGTTCCGAATGAGTGGTAGAATTTAGTTCTAATGCAATAAAAAATAAAGAAATAAATCATAAATACATTTTATACAACGGAATAACACATAGGCATGGGCGTAGCCGGCCAGAGCCAATTAGTCTATGGCAGCAGTCTTAAATATTCTGTAACTAGCAAACTACAGTCAACCCTCCTATAACGCGGTACTCTCAGAACGTGGTTTCCATATAACGCGGAGCTGAAATTGCGACAGCCCTCCTATAACGCGGTACTCTTACAGCGCGGTTTCCTTTCAACAACGTCCCATCAGTTCTTTCCGTGCACCCAATGAATGGTTTTAACTGGATATGTTTATATCAGCGTGGTTCACGGGTGGGGCTCCTCATGCGCTATCTTCCACTTCTATTAACTAAATAGTTTCGCATCGACAGCGTGCCATGCGTGTGTGTGTCTAACGAAACTGTAACATGAAAGATATATATGTGATCTTTTGACTACATTGTCGCGTGAACTATAGAAAAACTACGTTCTGCTTATGTCTTACCCGCTTAAAACCAATGTGAAGATCAACCAAGTGAGGAAGACATTTTGCCCATTAAAAGAAGGCGAGTTAGGCGACTCATATCTGACAGTGAGGATGAGTGTTGAAAGATTACATCATTTTACAAAAGTCTTTCTTTTGTTTTTGTTGGAAAACAGTTTTTTAGTTTAGTTTTTGTTTCATTTTTTTCATCATTTCCTTATTTTTATCTTGTCTTTTGTATTTATTGGTCTCCATATAACGCGGTACGAATGATGTGATTTGTACTTATTCTGAGTCTCTTATAGCGCGGTTTCCATACAACGCGGTAGACGGTTTCCATAGAACGCGCTACGAATTAGCCTGGTTTGTATGGTTAAATCCGAGTTTCTTATAGCGCGGTTTCCATACAACGCGGTACGCACTCACCGCGTTATAGGAGGGTTGACTGTATACCCATAGTATTGAATAAATTTTTTATACTACACTCTATAGCACCCTGTATTTGTATGTTGTTTTGTGTCGACTGTCGAGTATACATTTTCTTACGGATATTAAGCATCATAGTTAATATAAGTACTTAGATAATTTATTGTTTTTAGGTTTCGTTTAGTATCTTTCAGCAAGCGCCCCACTCTGTCCCAGCGTAGCTACATAGGCTACAAATTTAACGCGATTTCACAGCTAATACAGATAACTCCAAAGCACTAACCTAAAGTATTCTCCTTGCGGTGTATGACCCTCGCCTGCGTCATGCTGCCGAAGGGGAACTCGCAGCGGTCGGTGGCGGGCGTGGGTATGTTGTGCGGTATCTTGCCGTCCATGGGGCACACGGTGTTGGGCGACTTGAAGGCGTCCCTCGGGGGCTGGTGCGCGGCCGGCGGGGGCTCCGCGCTGGTGGAGGCGCCGTCGTCCAGCAGGCGCCCGATGCCGCCCAGCCCGGCCAGCAGCTCCGGGGTCGCCTGCGCGCGGGACGTGCTCGCATCTGAAAGTGTATATCGCTAACATTATAAACAGCTAAAGTTTCTTATTGTTTGTTCGTTCGGGATAATCTCCGGTTCTGCTGATGTGATTTTAATTATTCTTTTACTGTTAGAAAGATATGTTATAGGCAAGTACTATAGGGTATTTAACTGCAAGCTACGATCAATAGAAGCGGAGTAACAATGAAAAATGTGGCGAAAAATATTCATTTCATTCTATCAAGTTAAAATTACGCAAAAATATATATTGGAATTGCTCTCCTTTAAGACTTCTAAACGAGGTCCGCCACAACATAGGTCTATGTTTTAGGGTAACCTCACTATAACCTTTTTTATGGTAATCAAATTTCTTCTAAAATAATGTCAGTAATCCTCATCCAAATAAATACGTACACTACACACTAAAAACATATTTAAAAATATACGTAATTAACAATAAAAGAAAATGCCGGTCCCTATGTGCGAAATAAGATTTTTCAATGCGTTTTTCAACTTGTTAAAGACGCTATGCTAACGCAGCGTACTGATCGTCAGCGGCGGTGTTGATGGGTGATTACTTAAAATAATAATAATAATTTATATACATACAAAACTTATAATAATAAATTATATACATACGAAACATCCAGACCGATACAAACACATATCCTCATGAGTACAAACATTTGCACCGTACGAGAAAACAAACCCGTGACCATGAAGAGTATATTAAGGTTTCTTACGGGCAACACGCACGTGATACCCCTGGTTTTTCAGCCGCCCATAGGCTATGGTAACCATTTACCATCAGATGGGCCGTTTGATTGATTGCCACCATTGTAGTATAAAAAAAAACTGACCGTCTGCTGTGCTGATGGTGAGCTCCGCGCCGTGCTGCAGCCGCAGCGAGACTGCCGCGTCTCCGTCGAGCTGCACCGAGAGGATGCCGAGCGCGCGCAGCTGCGGTGCACCCGCCGCAGCCAGCGCGCGCAGCCGGGCCGCAGCCGCGCGCGGCACCGACAGCGTCACGCGCACTGAGTTCCACGGCTCCACCTGCCACAAACACTCCGTTATCGTCGTCTGATCACCAGCTGTTCCACATAAGGCCGACCACAAAGTATACAAACACTCCATAGCATCATCTGCTTGTGAGCTCTTCCTCACAAACTGGTCCATATAAAGCTGACCACAAAGGATGAGAACACTCCATATCATCATCTGCTCACGACAACTCACATCATCATCTGAACAGTTTATGAGTAGTTTATTATCATAAACTACTGGAGTATTCAGACTCCATATTATCAAATGCTCATAAAGTGATCTACATAAAGTTGATCACAAAGGATAGTAATACTTCATAGCCATCCATCTGCTTTTAATTGTTCCATATAAAGCTGAATACAAAAAATATATCATATCATATCATCATCTACTCGCGACATTCCATATCATCATATAATCACGATCTATTCTTTGTAAAACTAACCATGAAGCATACTATTACTCCATAACATCCATCTGCTTATAAAGTGTTCCCCATAAAGATGATCACAAAGGATAGGAACACACTATATCATCATCTGCTGATGACAATCCCCAATCATCTGCTCACAAACACCAAATAATACAATAAAGTACTAGGGAAGCACAAGTCTATTAAAACCTATTGTGTAGAAGGAAATAAAATTATTATTTTAACTTTTCTCCGGTTTTTTTTTTGTTTCAATTGTATAAGTATTGAATATTTTTTTATTTCTTTCTTTCAATAGATGCAAGTTGCTAGTTCTTTGGATTGAGATATAAATCTAAGACAAATAACGATAAGACCTTCGTTAAACAATACTACTATAGTATACAGTCATAAAATCTTACTAAACAGCCAGTTATTACGTAACTACATATTAACCATTGTGTTTTCCCTTAATTTTGGGGAATTTGTGGCGATGGAGTAATCTGGTGGGGTTTTGTAATGGTATAAAATGAAGCTGTATAGATATAAATGTTTTGGTACGTTAATACAAAACTAAAAATACAATAACAATACAAATGGCTACATGGAAAATGGTTACGACCTACAAATACACTACTAAGACAGATATTCTTTCATGGGACGATTTTTTAAACTTCTATTTTGGGAGATTGTCAGCATAATTTAGGAGGAAATCAGGATGTCATCTGGCAACACTGGTAGTCAATCGGCGCCTGAGCACCGCAAGCAAAGGTTATGCAGCATGCGTGTAATACTGCGATTTTTTTTACATAATTGGAATGACAAACAAACTAACGACCCATCTAATATAACTAGATGTCGCCCATTGGTCAAAATTCTATAATAATTGATTTAAAATTGAACATTTATTAAGGTTCTATTATCAAAAACTATACTTGAATACATGTGTCAGAAATAGGGTTGGTGGTAGAAGAATGAAAATTTAGTGTTGTATATTTTAATGCCAGATAACAAACTAAAATATAAAAATGTACAAAAAATAAAACAATGTTAGGGGTGGACAACCCTTATGACTCTTTAGTCATAAGGGTTGTGTGAAAAATAGTAGCCGATTCACAGACCCACTAAATATGCATTCCCTTCTTACTAATATATAAAATAAACTTCTTATTAATGTGAAAGTTTGTGAGTATGGATGGAAATATAGATGGATGGATTATTACTCTTTCATGCAAGAACTACTAAACGGATTTTGATGAGACTTTACAGCAATACAGCTTATACATCAGAATAACACATAGACTAGACACAAACTTGTAAACAAAAAAATATATATTTTAAATGCTAAAATATATCTAGTAAAACGAATTTCTTGTTTTCCTCTAATCAACTTTACCCACTAATCCATAATGTTCTTTTTTGTTTACTATTAACTTATTTATTTTAGAACAGGTTTCGCAATCAAGTGTTTATATAGACCTTCAGGTGTTAACAATAAGGATCAGATTTCCAAACTAAAAACATCCACTTATAATAGTTATTTTCTAAGTACACACGCACTGAAACATCAATGGCGACTGACTGCGAAGTGATATCCTAATTGGACAATTTAGGATATAACGCCGTCAAATTTGGATCATTGTCATTTTTTTATTGATGTAAACATTTCTTACTAGCTGCGCCTGCGACTTCGTCCGTGTAAAATGACGATAGGACCCCACTTAACGCTGTTTCGGTTTAGCGCTACTTTATTCAACCAGGGGATTCAAATAGGGAAGAATGTCAATTATTAGTAATGTGGACTGATGATCTTTTTGCTAGCAATTTACCATGTCAGGTTGACCTCCACGAGGTTCCCCTCGAAACCATCGTGATAAATTCTTAGTGACTTTGTTACGATGGGCTAACTGACCTGACCTCATGCTCACTTATCATCCTCCACTGATGCCCCGCCAGCGTAAACCGTGAGCGCAGGCGGGTGCACCATTTCATTATCATCCACAATAAAAAAATAATAATAACGGAAAGACGTCGAGGATATAGTTATAAAAACAGCAGCTAATCTTTCTAATAATGAAAGTTTTAATTATTTATGCTATTTTTAATCAATTATTATTTGCACAATTTGACCCACTCAACACTTCCTATGCCACGCTCTATTGGGTTGACTGGCAGAGATCTCTTTTAGAGATAAGTCCTCCTTTGTTAACATTATTTCTAATTAATATACTTATAAAATGTATTTAAGTGCAATAAGGAATATTTATAATGAGCAAGAAAAAACTAAAAATATTAATAGTAGTGATTCCGAAGAAAAGAAAGAAAGATAGTAAAAATATAGTAAGAAACAGCAGCTAGTCGGTATAATAATGAGCAAGAAAAAAACAAAAATATCGATAGTAGTGATTCCGAAGAAAAGAAAGAAAGATAGTCTCGTTTAACGCTGGAACTTATTGGAACGCATCCCGCGCGTTAAGCGGGGTCTTACTGTACATCCATATAATCTTTCATCTTCCCTATCAACCCCTTACAACCCTTTTTTCGCTTTAAATAGTAGCCTATATCCTTTCTCAGGGTCTAGACTATCTGTGTACCAAAATTCATTTAATTCGGTTCAGCAGCTTTGGTGTGAAAGCGAGACAGACAGAGTTACTTTCGCATTTATAATATTAAGAAGGATTAACCACACTTAGACAAACATTTGTTTTGATAAATCTTTACATAGTATAAAGTCCGCGGCGCTGTCTGTTCGCTTATACCTTTTAAATTACTAATTATAAATTGTTGTTCTAAGTGGAGACCGCGAATTGGCAAACGTAGTGTAGGATACCCCGCAGCTAGGTGGATCGACAACATACGTAGGGTTGCGGGTAATAACTGGAAGAGAAGGGCTGAAGATCGTGCCCAGTGGCGTACCTTGGGAGAGGCCTATGTCCAGCAGTGGACTGTAGTGTGCTGACGACGATAAATTATTGATTATTTCCAACATCAGTTAACATCTAGTCATTATATTAAACTACCTACACGCGATTTAGTCAACGTGGAATATAACTTTTCATTTTATAAAAATAAATATCTATACATATAAATAAAATTGTAGTGTCTGTTTGTAATATTGAAATAACCGTTTTTTACTACATGCATATGAATATAAATACGGTACATACGCCAAAATACCATATTTTAGAAGTTTTGTCTGTCTGTTTGTTCCGGCTTATTTCTAAAATGGCTAGACCGATTTTGACGGGACTTTTATAATGGTATCCTGTACATGAACAGCACTATGAACATCACGTGATAACCCGAATGGTATCACGTGGTAATCACGTGATGTTCATGTACATACAGTCTGTTTTTTAATCCCGGAGACTAAATTGACAGGGGGGGTAATTGTCAAATTATTTGTGAATAAACTATAAATATGGGTAATTAACATTAATTTCCGATAGTGCCACAACCCTATTTAAAAAATACAAAAACCTGGCAACATCGTAAATATCAAATTTGTCTAAGGAATTAAAAAACAGACTGTGTCTGTTTTTTTTTCTAAAGTATAATCCGTCGCTTTGTTTATACAGCCTTTTGGCCTATCCTTACTATTATTATAAATGTGTACACATGTTCTTGGAGGTATTTGAATGACCATAGGATACTTTTTATTAAAAAAAAAACAAATATTTTATATAAAAAACAAAAAAAATATTATCAACATTTTGCTACTTCAGCGCCATCTAGCAGTCTGTTATGAAGTTATAAATATTGAATGGATTCAATGTGAGCCAAGCCGCGGGTAAAAGCTAGTATGTCATAAATGAAAGTTATCACTTAACGTCATATAGTTTGCTATTGAATTATATATACAAAAAAGTGTAACATTCATTGTTAACTTTGTGCGTTTCCATTGTCATATATTTACAAGAAAGAATAACCTTTGTAACTGAGTTTTTTCATTCTCGACTGTTTACAAGTAAAGAATGTTACAAGCGAGATATACCTTGTAAACTTTGAGTATTTCCATTAGCGTCGATTCAGAAGACAATGTTACAAGTGGGATATACCTTATAACTTTCCTCTTGAATCAATCTATTTTTTGCAAAAAGTGTATTAAAATCTTTTGCATACTTTGAATGCTGTAGGCGAACAAACAGCGGGAGCGTCTTCATTTTATACTATGTAAAGATTTACAAGAAATTTATCGTCTATTTACAAGAGAATGTTACAAAGAGGATTTCCATTACGGTCTATTTACAAGAGAATATTACAAGCGGGATATACCTTGTAAACTTTCGAGTGTTTCCATCATCGTCTATTTACAAGAAGAGAATGTTACAAGCGAGATATAGATGGTTCACTTTGAGTGTTTCCATCATCGTCTATTTACAAGAAGAGAATGTTACAATCGGGATATACCTTGTTCACTTTGAGTGTTTCCATTATCGTCTATTTACAAGAAGAGAATGTTACAATCAATACCTTGTTCACTTTGAGTGTTTCCATTATCGTCTATAAACAAGAGAATGTTACAAGCGGGATATACCTTGTAAACTTTCGAGTGTTTCCATCATCGTCTATTTACAAGAAGAGAATGTTACAAGCGTGATTACAATCATGGTCTATTTACAAGAAGAGATATATACCTTGTTCACTTTGAGTGTTTTCACTTTGAGTGTTTCCATCATCGTCTATTTACAAGAAGAGAATGTTACAATCGGGATATACCTTGTTCACTTTGAGTGTTTCCATTATCGTCTATTTACAAGAAGAGAATGTTACAATCGGGATATACCTTGTTCACTTTGAGTGTTTCCATCATCGTCTATTTACAAGAAGAGAATGTTACAATCGGGATATACCTTGTTCACTTTGAGTGTTTCCATTATCGTCTATAAACAAGAGAATGTTACAAGCGGGATATACCTTGTAAACTTTCGAGTGTTTCCATTATCGTCTATTTACAAGAAGAGAATGTTACAATCGGGATATACCTTGTTCACTTTGAGTGTTTCCATTATCGTCTATTTACAAGAAGAGAATGTTACAATCGGGATATACCTTGTTCACTTTGAGTGTTTCCATTATCGTCTATTTACAAGAAGAGATATGTTACAATCGTCTATAAACAAGAAGATATATACCTTGTTCATTTACAAGAAGAGAATGTTACAAGCGTGATATAGATTGTTCTTTGAGTGTTTCCATCATCGTCTATTTACAAGAAGAGAATGTTACAATCGGGATATACCTTGTTCACTTTGAGTGTTTCCATCATCATCGTCTATTTACAAGATTTACAAGAGAATGTTACAATCGGGATATACCTTGTTCACTTTGAGTGTTTCCATTATCGTCTATTTACAAGAAGAGAATGTTACAAGCGGGATATACCTTGTTCACTTAGAGTGTTTCCATTATCGTCTATTTACATCGTCTATTTACAAGAAGAGAATGACAAGCGGGATATGTTACAATCGTCTATTTACAAGAAGAGATATATATAGATTGTTCACTTTGAGTGTTTCCATCATCGTCTATTTACAAGAAGAGAATGTTACAAGCGGGATATACCTTGTTCACTTTCGAGTGTTTCCATTAATGAAGTTAACGTTACAAACGGAATTTCCCTTATGATCTATTTACAAGAGAATATTACAAGGAGGATATACTTTGTTCACTTAGAGTGTTTCCATTACTGTCTATTTACCAGAAGTTAACATTACAAACGAGATTTTCTATTTACGGAAGTTAATGTTACAAACGGAATTTCCATTATACATGTACATGAACAGCACTATGAACATTACAAGAAGAGATCATGTTACAACTAAATTGACAGGGGTAATTGTCAAATTATTTGTGAATAAACTATAAATATGATATATTTAAAAAATACAAAAACCTGGCAACATCGTAAATATCAAATTTGTCTAAGGAATTAAAAAACAGACTGTGTCTGTTTTCTTTTTCTAAAGTATAATCCGTCGCTTTGTTTATACAGCCTTGTTCACTTTGAGTGTTTCCATCATCGTCTATTTACAATGTGAGCCAAGCCGCGGGTAAGAGAATGTTACAAAAAAGTGTAACATTCATTGTTAACTTTGTGATATAACCTTGTAACTGAGTTTTTTCATTCTCGACTGTTTACAAGTAAAGAATGTTACAAGCGAGATATACCTTGTAAACTTTGAGTATTTCCATTAGCGTCGATTCAGTGTTACAAGTGGGATATACCTTATAACAATCAATCTATTTTTTGCAAAAAGATTAAAATCTTTTGATATACGAACAAACAGCGGGAGCATCTTCATTTTATACTATGTAAAGATTTACAAGAAATTTTCTTTACTCTATTTACAAGAGAATGTTTCCATCATCGTCTATTTACAAGAAGAGAATGTTACAATCGGGATATACCTTGTTCACTTTGATATATCGTCTATAAACAAGAAGAGAATGTTCACTTTGAGTGTTTCCATCATCGTCTATTTACAAGAAGAGAATGAATGATTAGATTGTTCAAGTGTTTCCATTATCGTCTATTTACAAGAAGAGAATGTTACAAGCGGGATATACCTTGTTCACTTAGAGTGTTTCCATTATCGTCTATTTACAAGAAGAGAATGTTACAATCGGGATATACCTTGTTCACTTTGAGTGTTTCCATTATCGTCTATTTACAAGAAGAGAATGTTACAAGCGGGATATACCTTAAACTTTCGAGTGTTTCCATCATCGTCTATTTACAAGAAGAGAATGTTACAAGCGTGATATAGATTGTTCACTTTGAGTGTTTCCATCATCGTCTATTTACAAGAAGAGAATGTTACAAGCGGGATATACCTTGTTCACTTTGAGTGTTTCCATCATCGTCTATTTACAAGAAGAGAATGTTACAAGCGTGATATAGATTGTTCACTTTGATGTTTCCATCATCGTCTATTTGCACAATGTTACAAACGGAATTTCCATTACGATCTATTTACAAGAGAATATTACAAGGAGGATATACTTTGTTCACTTAGAGTGTTTCCATTACTGTCTATTTACCAGAAGTTAACATTACAAACGAGATTTTCTATTTACGGAAGTTAATGTTACAAACGGAATTTCCATTACGACCTATTTACAAGCGAATATTACAAGCGGGATATACCTTGTTAACTTTGAGTGTATGGGGATGCGGCTCGGCGAGCAGCGCGCGCAGCTCCCGCAGCAGGCGGCGCAGGCGCGCTGGGAACCGGGGGTCGCGCAGGTCGCCTTCACACGTGACCACCACGCCGCACGACCCGCCGCCCGCCGAGCCTAGCCCATCGCTGTCCGCTGCCATGCTGGAAATTAAACAATTCACATATTACTATCTCAATTCTTGATTAAAAAATCTATTAGAGGGTTTATTTTTTTAATCGGTGTTAATGGAATGGTGCACCCGCCTGGGCTAACGGTATATGCTGGCAGGGCACCAGTGGAGGATGATAGGATGATAATGAAATCATCTCATCAATCCATTCTGATGAAATCAATTAACAACGATGATTTCCGGAGGAAAAACCAGACAACAGTGGGACATTAAATTTCCTATTGTTATAATAATGATAAAGATAACTGTATATTTCAAATAAATACAATTTTTAGGGATCCAATAGTCATTAAAATATAAACTTTAAAATGATAACCGTAAAGACAATTTAATTTTCTTAACCTCATCGTAAAATCCGCTACGCTACGACACGCGCCGACTCGCGGCGGTTGATAACAATCGTGTTTAAAAATTTACTACTTAATATTGCATTTATCGACTTGTCTCAAAAATTATTGTGGTTCCTATGCTTTCACTGGTATAATCATTCATGGTTGTGCAGCACATATGGGCCGATCCTGGAAGTATCTCACCCTCAACAGAGTACCGGCAGTAAGGGTTGGTGAGTAGTATCCTACTACTCACCAATCGAAACACAGTAACCCTTCCATACCCCTTCCATTTCCTAATCCTTCACGCCTTCCCCTATCTAACCCCTTATCTCTTAGGTGAGCGTCAAGCTCCTTTATATTCTATAATAATAATAATGTTAAAACAACGAGAGGGCATTCTGTTTTTTTTTTATTAATTTTTCTGTTTTATAATACCATTACTATAACTCAGACAATACAAAATGTTTAATTCTACTCAAAATTATGGTATTTTTTTATTTGCACTATAAAACGCGCGAGGTATCCATGGGCCTCTATCATCTCTTTTGCTTAAACTGATTACTCGGTAACCTTATTCGAATAGTATCTCGTGTAGGACTGCGTAGCGGTTACGAGTAGGGGATTTATGAACTTCGATTCTAGTACTTTTTCATAGATATGAGACCTACGAAAATCAGTAAAAAAATGTAAGCGATTAGGGAGACAAATTAAGCTACAATTTAGGCTAAATGTTTAAAAATGGCAACCCTGATCATTCATGATTTCAGATCATGATCATTTTCATTAATTCGTTTTGTGCATTTCTAACTGCGACGTATGCGATACCATTCAGCGTTGCCGTTCGGATAAGTGCGTACACGTGCGGACTTTAGCGTTCTTTGCTATTCCAGCGGACTGTCGACTTATTCTCATTTGATAGTGTAGGTCACTTATTACCTAAATTCACAGAGGCAATATATAAAAAAAAATCTTTTCTCTTGCATATAATCTTAATTCCCATCATAGAGAAGAATAGAAATATAAACTTCATTCAAATTAACTTGTAAGCGCTTTTGATTTGTTACTTTCAGATTTTGAGCACTAAAGAAAATATTCCAGTAAATAAATATAAGAAATAGTAGAAGAGTTAAATATAGTTAATTTAATATATATATTCCTTGTTGGTAAAATTATATCGAAGATTTGTTGAAGGCAAAAATCACACAGATAAAATCAGGTATGTAATAATAATAAAAACATAACCCTCTAATTCTGAAACTGTAATACTAATGTAAAAGAAGGATTTCATTTGTGGTTTGATGACATTCATGGCCAACTCTATGACTTATGCAAAATCACTATTTCAGATGAACTGGCTCACTTCTGTATGGTTCTTCAAATCTACTGCTGCATAATTCCTTAAAAACTGCCCTTATTTCATATGGCAAATCATAACAAGGACTATTGGCCTTATTGCTAGCAATATAGCTCAGGTTTATGTCATGTTGACCTTCAAGTTGGGGCAAAGGGCAAAGGGCTGACTGACCAGTGGATAATAATATGAGCATGACTACTGTCATGCTCATATTATTATCCACTGATGCAGTAACCATCCTTTAGCGACAACAATGGTAAGTGTGATTTCATTTATTAATATTTATTTTACAGTTTTCATAAATAAAAGACAGTATTATACTAAGTATGGTATTTCATTAATATTTGTTTTCTGTTTTATTAAGTAAAACATGTCGACATAATTAAAAAATATGTGCAGTTTACTGCATACAATAAAAAATCTATAAAAATCTATATTCTTTAGTTTTAGTTTTAATTATTAATTTAATTTTTATCCTTTCTTAATTTTATGTAAGTAGTATTTGGAATCTTATATTTAAATGTTAAAATATCCACATATGTAATTTTTTTTTCATATATGCAATTACCTCATCTAGCTTTAGCAGATTTGTTATGGTAATCTGTTGATGGGACACTCCTGTACTCACAACTGTACCTCCAGTTAGGAAAGTCCCATTTTACTTTAATGTTAATGTTTCTTTTTTGCATTACTGTATAAAAATATTTTTTAATAATATTAATTATCACATTTGGATATGTAACAATCAAAGGAAAATTGTTTATCAACCTATTTTTTTAATTCCATACAATTCCCATGTTTACAATGAAATTTATGACCCGATAGGACCAAAACAACAACAAATATTATGAAATATCAATGATGAATCACTTTAGTAAACAACATTAAAACTCGGTTCATATTCCATTTTGTCAAGGAATATTAATAAAAAAAAACATAAACCACTTTTATAGTTATGACCTTGAACTCACCCTGTTCATAGTCAATGTGACATAATCTGTTATATATTTATTCCTATTTCATCCACATTTTTCAGAATTCACATTTTAAAAAACGGTTCACATGCTTGTGTTTTCTATAAACATCCCCCTGCCCCTCAATTTGTCCACCAAAAGCCATCACATTTATGACCTTTAACTCACCCTGTTTATACTCAATGTGATATAATCTGTTGTATATTTATTATTATTCCTATTTCATCCACATTTTTCAGAATGCACATTTTTAAAAACGGCTGACATTCTTGTGAGTTCTGTAAACATCCTCAACATGTTTATTCTTGTTACATCATATTTTTCAGAATTCAAATTTCCAAAAACAATTGACATGCTTATGTTACCAATAAAAATCCCACTGCCCCTCAATTTGTCTACCAAAAGCAAACACATTTATGACCTTGAACTCACCATGTTTATACTCATGTGATATAATCTGTTGTATATTTATTATTGTTCCTATTTCATCCACAATTTTAAGAATTCACATTTTCAAAAATGGTTAACAGACTTGTCATGTTTATAAACATTCCCCTGACCCTCATTATATCCACCAAAACAATCACATGATGAAATAACAAATTGGCATTCAACCATAGATTTCCTTATATTTTGCCATCCTATTCAAATTTAAATAAACATATATTTTCCATTCTTTTCTAATTTATGCAAACCTCTCTTTCCATCCTTTTCAAATTTAACGTTCCACTTACAACATCTGTAATTATTATCCATAAAATCACATTTTTCTGATCAGAAAACATTATTAGAGAAACAATACTCCTAAATAATAACCTAATTAATATATTATTAGTTTTATATGTGATTTTTTGTTCTTAGATATCTATAATTACTTTTATATAAAATTTTTTTGTTTGTAGATACAAAAATTATGCAACATGCAATCACAAATACCATTAAACATTATTTTACAACTTATTTGATGATGAAACAGCAAACAGACATCTATTCACACACTCATATGTAAACAAATCAAATAATTGTGAAAGTAGGTATTAGTTTCAATATTCCTACTGTAGAGAAAGTAATGAATTTTCCATGTTTAAGGATGATAAGGATAAATTGAGTTTATAACAAAAAAAAATATATATTTTTAAGTACAATAATCTTTTAATAATAATAATACTTGTATAATTTAAAACAAATAATAGAGTGTAAATAACTAAATTAACATAGCAATTGAACAAAAAATTACAGAAATAAAATAGCTAACTGTTATTTTTTATTATATTGATACATATGGAGAATAATTATGTACTTAGAAATATGAAAAATTATTCTCAGTGTTTATAATAATGCTATATTGCATTTTATGAGCATGTTTGGACCTAACAATAAACCATACATATAATTATAAACAAACAATATTTTAATGTACTAGTGATACATTTGTTTACTATTATGTTATGTCATTTGACATATAGAAACGAAATTCTGAAAGCCACAAATCAAAATGTGCACACGAGCCGTCTTTGCCGGCGGTAATCTAAAAAGTTCGTGCGTTGATGGAATATTTCCTTGATTAACGTGTTACAGCAAGGTCGGTTTCGAAAACATTGGAGCATGCGTTACACAATATTTTTCAAACAAAATTCTACGTTAGTTATCGTAAATTGACACTGAATTCGACTGTTTCAGGCGGCCGAGGCGCGGAGCCGTACGCGGCGGCCGCCCGACGTCCTGTCACCGCGAGTCCGCGACCAATGTGTCCATTTTGTAAAGAATACCGCACAACTAAACACTTTGCAAAATGTAAATAAACCGGATAAAAATCCACTTACCTCTCATACAATGTCACATTCCGCTCAATTCCACAAATTTTCTAGCCTTATGTGTCGCAAATCATCCTGGAAATTCAATCGCAACATTACAATCCAGCTCGGACGCAAGGCAATATCAGTCCTATGGTCAGTGTCCACTACTCCAAAAACATATGATACAACACAATTGTCCCGCCCCAAATATGTCTGGGGCTTTATCCAAAGCTTATTTTTGCTTTTTCACACAGGATCACACGAGTAGAAACACTACAATTTCATCACAAATCCAATTCACTGATTTATGTTCCAGTGACGCAAAGCTCATATATCGTGAAGAGCAGCAGCCATTTTGAAATGTAAGGGAGTACAGTCACGGCATGGAACATTAGCAAATTATAGCCGCTCTCGTTTATCAGTAGAGTTAAAACGTAGATAAATAATTTAGAAACTCTATACAGTATTCATTTTCACAGTTTAGGACACTAAATTTCACACCATTTTCTTATTTAAACTATCCAAAACAACCTAAGCGACATCCGATAATTCCAGCTTACCCCATTTGCATGACACACATAAAATACCAAAAAAACACTAAAAACACTTAAAACCGTACACAAAACGCGTCGTGCCGAATAATAAGAAGTTAAAGCATCGCATCAATATAACAGTTGAGTAGAAAAATCGCTAAAAAGATTGGTATATAATTTACAAATAGTTAATTCGGTACGAACAATAACAACGGGCGCCATTTGCAATTTTCAACTTGACATGCGCACTGACTCGAGGAGCAAACACACATGACATAGCTTTTGACAGATGTGCATAATACGAAACCTTATCTCTAGCTAAAGAAAATGAGAAAAAAGGATAAGCAATCTACCAATAAATAGTGTTAAGAATTTCCCAGAACTCTAGCTATTTCATATTTTATATAATGACCATAATCCGTTTATTTTGTTATTTTAATATTTATGTTCGCTGTAACAAAGTCATTGCGACCACACTCATGCTTCAATAACCCTGTTTTGTGATTGGTGGAAACTGTAATCTCCATGTTTTTATAAATAATATTCATAATTTTAATTGGATGCCGCCATATACTCTGACGACACGAATCACTTCCTGTTCTAAATACTAAAATTAAATTAAATATACCAAAATAGATGTAAATATTATACTGCAAGAATAATTATTATAAACTAAGATATACAATCTACCCATACTTCCATTCCATACCAATATAATAAAATCGAAAATGTGTTTATCTATATCAGACAGTGTGTTTGTTATCATTTCATTTTTAACCGGCTGATTAGATCATAATGAAAAATGACATGAAAGTAGATTGTATAACAGGCTAATCTCTATAAAGCAGATGAATTAGCGGGTAATAATTTGGTAGTTTCGATAGTCGTAAAAAAATAGTATAAATACTCAAAATATAAATTGCTATTTGTCTGCATATTGCTAGATGTCAGTTTAATTATGGTATTTGTGACATTCTTTCACTGTTGAACGTGATGCATGGTATAACTAATGACTCTCATTAGGGGTAAACTAAATTAATCGAGTTGCTCCAGGACATTTCAAGTGGTCGTTCAAAATTTATTTTAGTGAAGTCCTGTGGAGTGAAAAGATCCGCAGTGTTGTCATTCTAGCCACTTTGTCAGTTATCTAACTTAATTAATCATCTAGTTTGCTTAACATTTCTCAAATGTTACGGTTAAATAGACCACATAATATTAATATCTAAATAATCGCTAAATTAAACAAGGTTGTAATAACTATCTCATCCACTACTGTCCTACTTGCACAGCCTACAAGTAATAGAGGGCAGCACTGTGTTATACCGTAAGGAATCATCATGTTTACAAATAATTATACGCTTATCTCACACAGTGATGCATTTTTAAGGCAGATACACATTTTAATTATAGTAATATAAATAAAAAAATAATAATTGTTACATTGGCTATTTATTCATATGCTGGTTATCTTTTAGAGATTCCACGGGAACCGATTGGAACAAGCCTTTTCTTGCCATCTCATCGGCCCAATCTTCAAATTCACCTTTTCTGAAAACAGAGTGTAAAGTGATATATCAGATTTTATTGCACTACACTCTTATCCATAATCCATACACAACTTTAATATGGTATAACAATTACTACAATATATTGTCAACCGATTAGCACACTGATTAGCGATAGCCGGTAATTGTACAATAGTATAAGAATGTTAATCCTATCTAATGAAAATAGGGGCGTTAAAAAAAATGGCCACGAAATATGCTCCGAACAATAATTAAAGCATAGTTATTGTTCTGAATATACGACGGTCTTGGCTCAAGGTCGGTCGGCCACATAGAGCCAAACATTTTTGAAGTTGATACTGGTCATCCGCTCCCCTCTAAGAGAGTGATGATTGGGGTCTCGGGGCGATCCCCTTTGCCCCGACGTCAACTCCGGGGACTCGGGGGAATTATCTTTTGAAGAAATGCAATTAAACTAAATTTAACCTAACTTAAGAATTCATGCCATATTTACTTTGTTCTTTTTGTGTTTTATTTATTTTGTGCGTGTCGTCATTTTTTAAAATTTTTCCATTAAACATGTACAATATTTAGGTTGGCTGTCAATGTCGGTTGTTCGCTGTCAAATGTCAAAATAAAATCATCACGAACGCCTACTCTGCAATATTTATCTTAATAAGGCAATTAATCTATTCAATTGTATTAAAGAAGTGTATTACAAACCTAATTATTATTAGGAAACGAATAAATCGTTTTTATTTTTCACTTGTGTATAGTCTAAAACATGAAATTTATTTAAACAGATTTTAATTATAATGAAATAGTTCCTTGTTTGCTTATAGTAATAAAATAAAATAAACTATTTGAAATTATTTATCGGCTGAAAAGGAATGATCTAGCAGTGTTTTATAAGGTGTGTTTGTAGCTTTCTTTATTTTTCATTCTGTTTTATATTCAGAGTGTCGAGACTTAGTGGTTTACTATCCAACTTCGACCTCAAATATCACCAGTTCTGGCCGACACTAAAAACCAGTGAATTTATATCCCTAGTTCTCTGAAGATGTAAATATTATACTTTTCTCTCTTTCTTTTCTTGATCTAAATTTTATACTTTTTTTCAATAGGATGTACTCTGATATTTTTATTAATTAATATAGATCAGTTCTATATAGAGTAGAATAGAAATAATCTATATTCAAATAAATTTAATATAAGCACTTTTGAACAGTAATTTTATTATTCTGCCACCAATTCCAAATGTTGGCACATCACAAGAAGAATGAACAAGAAATTTGCTTGTTGCTCTTTTAAATGTTCAGTATTACATTTTTATTATTGTGTGGTATGAAAATAATACTACACATAGAACCCTTCACTGTCTGTACATACATGATGTTAAAATCTGATATATAAATAATACATAACACAATAACCCAAAACAATGACAATTTTTGTCTTAGCCTTTGTGTGTGCTAATTACATTGACACTGGAAACCATCATGATAAATTCTTGATGAATTTCTCATGATGGGCCGAGATGACCATGCTCATCGTATCATCCTCCACTTGTGCAAGAGTGAACAGTTAGCACAGGAGGTTGAACCATACCATTTTAAATCCATAATTACACATCAAATAATTACACTGACCCCTTGTCAGTGTCAGTAAGTGGATTGTTAGTAATGTGGACTGCTGACCTTATTGCTAGCAATGGTACCATGTCAGGTTGACACACGGTTCCCCCTGAAAACCATCATAACAAATTTTTGGAAAATTTGTTAAGATGGGCTAACTAACCTGACTTCATGTTCATCTTATCATCCTCCACTGGTACCCTGCTAGCATATACCTTTAGCACAGGCGGGTGTATCATTATTGTAAACACTGACAAATTGCTTAACCAAATCATTGACTTAAAAATTTGACACTTTTATTGGTTTAAAAATAAATTATAAAGGTGTGAATGAATGACTCAGCTCATTATAAATCTATATAGACTACTAGTATAGACTACTAACGCATAAAAATCCTTATAAGCTGCAATCCTTGGTGCGCTAATGAGTACATAGTAAGCTGCCCCACCAATAAATGCCAGTAAAGTGCCCTGTGCTATGAGTGCTTTAGTCTGAGCTCGGTGGAGACCTCGCATAATTGGTTTCACACGGCATGGTGGAGCCGGCGGCGGTGGGGGACACGCCTGTGGGCAGGGCTGCGGTGTTGACGGAGGGCACGGCTGGTAGCTCATTCTAAAATGGATTGTAAATCATATTATGTGCATGGTTCTATTTCGAATGGGTTACTTTTGATATTACCGATTCATCATCACACTTTGTGTATTAGATAGATGCCTTATTTATCATATCCTATGTGGTTGTAGCCCACTCATGTATAAACAAAATAGATATTGCGTTATACGATTTATTACTAGATAAAAACCATCGCTCCTTTAATTTTGAAAAAGGGCGAGCACAATAGATCTACGTAGGTCGCAGTGTTACAAGTCTTAACACCTGAGAACAACCCAAACCCCTCAATAAAAAATAAAAAATATACCTTATTTACCAACAAAAATACATATTTTACAAATAACAAACATGCAATAGCATATACGAAATCGAAATGAATCTTCTTTCATTTGCAGAGTTAACACAAATGAAATATGGCACAAAGTTCTCATGGCGGAAGTCACCGGAGAAGTCGAGATCACGAAGGCGCAATGCGATATACCAATACCGACTGGGAAGCCAAAGAAGCACTTTACCAGCGGGAGCTGGACGAGGCGAGAGCTCGCGCCACTCAAATGGAAAAAACCATGCGCTGGTGGTCAGACTGTACCGCCAACTGGAGGGAGAAGTGGACCAAGGTACGTAACGAACGGAATAAAGCTAGAGACGAGGCCAAACAACTAAAGAACAAATTCGATCTCCTTACTAAAGAACTATCTACAATCAAAGCCGAAAAGAATGACATAGAACAACAATTGATTGAAGTAAGACAAGACAACGAGAAGTTGTTAAGTATAGGCGAGAGTAGGATAGTCCAAGGCGACCTAACAACAGAAGACGGTGTCGAATTAAGAAGGAAGAATGTAGGTTACGTATCACCAAATGAACCGTCGATACGGCAGCGTGCGTCATTAGATTCTCACAAATTCTCTAACGTTGATAATGTTCTTGCCAATAAATTGAGTGAGTTGAGGCTTAGGTTGGACGAAGCAAGCAAGAGTTTGCAAAGTGAGAAGGACCAGAAAGCATTCCTGTTGACGAAAGTGGAGGCGCTCACGACGGAGTTGCACAGTACGAAGATGGAGTTGACCCACAGTGATCGAACTTTAGGGTCTACAGATTCTAGTCACAGCGAGGTAGAGAGACTGCAGAACGAACTACAAGACGAGATAGCCGCCAAACAGGTTCTAGAAGAAAGGATAGCGGAGCTCAAAATGGAGGTAGAACGGTTGAAATCAGAGAATAATGTACAGTGGAGCAAACGAGAGCTATTGGAAACTGAGAATGTAGCTATATTGAGAGAGAACAAAAAGTTATACGGTCAGGTCTGCGAATTGAGGGAACAGATACATAAACTCAACAGAATATCAGACGGAAGCGCATACGGGTTGCAGTTTGTAAACGAACATTCAAAACTCGACTCTAATATATTGTACGTAAGGAAGTCTAGCGCGAGTCCTAGATCTCAAGAGTCAAGCAATGGGTCTTCAGAGGCGAACCTTGCACAATTTGACGCTAAAACAAACACATCAGCCGAGGAAGACGAGTTAGCGATAATCGAAAGGAATGATAACTGTTGAAAATAAATTTACTTACTAATATTTAGTTGGCGAAACGAATTTAAATATCAAAACGCTTAAATGATTGACAAAACGTTCAATTGTCTTTTTATTCTATTTAAAATAAAGAAGATTAATAATAGTTATATGTCAAAATGTCGATAATCTCTCAATATTTAGATATAAAATATTGAACAAAGAGATTTTATGCAAAATTGCTTATGAACTACAAAACAGTAAAGCTCTATTATACGTGCTTTTAGTTTGATGGTCACATTTTATAATCTGAAGTATTTACGAGTATAAGTAATATCTATGTATATTTATGTGTTCAAAGCTGTTTGTATCAAGGGTTTTAAAAATATTTTCAGTATTACAGTTCGCGTCTTTGGAAATACTTTATTAATATTATCACTGGCCCTTTACGACCTACATTATATGGAAGGCGTATGACAATATTCTATTTATAGAAACTTCTTACAAAATAATATTGATGAAATCAACATCAATCAGATTAATTGGAACAGAGATTTAAGCGTTTTTTACATTGAGACTGCAGTTTTTAAATGAATCAAGTATACAATAGTAATGTCATGTAATTTGCTAACGTTTGGTAAATGATATATTTTACAACAAATTATATCATTTACATAATGCCATGCGTGGCTGGAGATAGCCTTCAACCGATCCAGTAATATTTCCACGGGTTTAAAATGTTCTGTACACTCATCTACATATTTTATTTTACCCCTTATAACACCTTAAGGGTGAGATATCCTTCAACCGATCCATTAGTCTTTCCACGAGTTTGAAATGTCCTGTACATTCACCAGCATATTTTATTTTACCACCTTAAGGGTAATTTTTTCCAAATTTAAATGTCATATTTATTTTTATTTAATCAACAGCCTAAGAAATAAGTTTCAAGATTCTAGCTTTGAAAATGACGTTACAACTAATGACTACCTGTGTACCAAATATCATTTAAATCAGTTCAGTAGTTTTGGCGTGAAAGCGCAACAGACAGATAGAGGTACTTTCGCATTTTTTATAATATTAGGGAGGATTAATTTCGTTAATGAAAGGACAAACTGTCATTGTATTCAGTTTAGTCTTGAGTACGCTTCATCACAAAACAAATATTAGATTGAAATTGATATTGAGGTTAGATTGAAGATTAGTCAGGCATTTAATCATGAATAGGTGACAAACAGACATATTTGCATTTATATGAATACTAGCTGTGCCTGCGGTTTCACCCGATTTAAATATAGCCTGTTATTCTGATGTATAAGCTATATTACTGTAAAGTTTAATAAAAATCTGTTCAGTAGTTTTTGCGTGAAAGAGTAACAAACATCCATCCATACTCACAAACTTTCGCGTTTATGATTAATAAGATAGGATGGATGGGACACGTTTTAATTGTGGGGTTTCGAATAGATAAGGAATAGATGTCGCAATATGTATGTTAGTGGTTGTTGATGATTGTGATAGTTTTACAAATTAAGAAATATTCCGTAGTGGTGTACAATGCGATGGTAGTCAAGTCTAATAGCTCAATTATATACGTATATATATAACAGGCATGCTTATAGATGCGAAGCCGGTTATTAACGATTTTAACTAAGCGTTTAAAAATGCATTTTTCGTTATTAACGGTTAATTAACCACATTTTATGCTTGGTACTTTCAATAGCCCAAAATTAATTGACCAAACAAAATAAATTCACTTTATAAAGAAAGGCTCAACTAGAAACTCCTGTAACAAGCCCTTCTCTCTTCTAGGTATTACACCTGACTGGAATGTTATAAAGGACATGTGTTTCATTATCTAGACCAGATATATTCCTATATTGAAAAAAATCAAATATAAAGGCGACTCTTTGTCGCAGTCGGATAACTCACCGTTAATAACCGCATTTTAATAGTAGCTAATCATAAATTTGGTTAAATAACGATAGCTAACAGGTTTTTTACAACTATAGGTATGCTCATTACCCCGTTACTTACTAAAGAGTTTAATTCCGATAAAAACTTCATAACCTTTACACGTACGCTTTATCACGCGCGATTCAGATATCGCACGTGAAAGAGTTTGTTTAAAAACTACAATCCCTTCAAATTGACAGATTTTTTTAAATGGTATGTTTTGAATTATGCATTGGAGTCTGTATTCTGCAAATTAATGATTTTATTATGAAACTTTCCCATGAATCATTGAATCGCGCGATTAGGATTTACACGACGTGCTTTCCTCTTAATTGAAACCACAGGCAATCGCGCGAAAGTGATTGACCACTTTGGTTGCGCGCGCGCTTACTGAGCTCAATCGCGCGCGAAAAAACGTGTCGCGTAAAGGTAGTTGCTGTCTTAAATGCTTCCTCAGTATGTAGTAAAAAACGGTTATTTCAATATTACAAACGGACACTCTAATTTTATTTATATGTATAGATAATATCAAAGTCGCCTCTTGCAACTTGTATGTGGTTGAATTTTTATATCGCAATGTGTGTCTACTGACTGTACATCAGCATTTTTATAGTTTATTTTTTTAAATCTCTTATCAATAAGAGTTATATATCCGACTGATTTAATGTACTAATTTGTTTGTCGTCAATAAGGCCTAATTTAGATATTGAAGTTCAAAATAAATGTCCTCTATAAGATTATTATATTATATAATGTACGTAATTATTGATAAATAAAAACATTTGGTGTATCAAATTATTTTTATTTTTATCCTTAACAAAAAGATATAATACAAATGTACATAGTCCTAATTTATAAAAAACTAATAAAATAATATTTTTATAACTGTGTACGAGAGGTAGGAAAGGGTATTGTTAGTAATGTGTACTAATGACTCCTTACTACCATCATGTGACCTCCACGTGGTTCGCCCTGGAATCCATCGAGATAAAATCATGGTGAATTTAATACGATGGGCTAACTGATCTGACCTCATGGTCATCTTAGCATCCTCCACTGGTGCCCCGCCAGCGTAAACCGTTAGTGCAGGCGGGTGCACCATTCCATTATAATACATAAGAAAAAATCTGTGTATAAGAATTTAATTAACTCACGTACTCATTCTGAAGAAGACTTTCGAAAGAAGTCCGAACAATTATTCGCGAAAGATAAACAGTTTATTTAATTCCCGTACATAGTCAATACTAACCCTGAACAATAGAGCAACGCCATCTAGTCCCAAGCAAAAGGTTAAGCTTATGTTATGGATAGATAGATAGATAGATTTGGGCGAGCACAATAGATCTATGTAGGTCGCAGTGCTACAGGTGCTACACATCGGACAATAGCCCAAACAATCCAATAAAAAAAAATATGGATAGATATGGGACTCAGTTACCTAGATACATCAAAATAATAATTGCATTTAATAATGGCTAGTACGACAAATTCAATATTGTCTACGCACTGCTGTGTCTAAACTGTGTCACCCCACCTTACATTTTCCTATTGTTATTTAGTATATAAGATCATTATTTTTAGGTACATATTGTCTGTCTATTATCATCTGTAATATAATATACCGTATTGTTTCGACCGACAACATCGTATTATTTACCCAAAACAATATTTTCTGTAAATACGTAGAAAACCATACAATAGTCATAATAATGAATACAAATATTTCTACTGTATGAAGAATCGAACTCGCAAACCATCGGGAAGTAAGGTTACTTAAACTGCTAGACCACCGATGCCGTCATAAAAATGAACATAAGGTTTAAAAATAATAATGATTTTATTGTTATTACACTTTTTCGTTTTTGCTAGCTATTTTTTCAACATTTTATGGAACGTCATGTGAGGAGTTACCACGTCCTCCCTCATGCTTTGTCATTCCAGCAATTTTCGGTGTTAAGCTTTCGTACTCTGTAATTTCACTGTCATATTTCATCATTCAATCGAAACAGAAAGGAAAAGATAAGCTGCTTAGCGCCTGAAATAGGTGGGACAGAGATATCCGTGTAAATAAATTATTACAACATTTTCACCTATAAAATGTTATTAAAAGTCGTTTCTATACCATAGTCTTATTATTAGGATAATTGCTTGTGTCCCCTAAGTTTTATTTCGAAGATTTCCGTTTCCTCTTTTTATATTCCACTTCCTTAAAATTAGCCACTGGCAACATTCCCATCCTTTTGAATTTAGACTTCAATAGAGACTTCTTCTGTTCTCTCTTTGTCGGTTTTATGATAAAACTTTCTGATTTCTTATTTTCTTCTACATTCTCCGTTGCGGTTTCCTGAACTACTGAACTACCCGCGTTTACGGAGCTTTCTCCTGCATTGTTCGTAGCATTTTCACAATTTTTTTTAACAGCACTGTCTATAATTTCAATTTGAATCCTGTGATTTTCATCCGTTTTTATATATACTGGTACTGAATCTATTTGTATATGTAAATTGTGTTCAGCTGTTTCCTTGTTTTCTGTTGGCATGTCCACAATATTAGGTAACTGATGAAATTCTTTCAAGTTTATGTCATCATTGGTGTCTGCCTCAGCATTGTTGGATAGTAATGGTATATATCCATCATTGTCACTACTAGAGGTGGATTTCTTTCGACTGCGCTTCTTCAATTTGCGAGTTGGAGGGACTTTACGTTTCCGAAGTGAAAGACTAAGTTTGCTAGGGGATTTTGCACCATCACTGTCTTCAGAAGAGCTCTCTTCAGGTATAAAACGTCTTTTGTAAGGACTAGCTTTCGTAGGAATTGTTTCGTGGCGTCTGCAATTAAGATAAGTGAAGTCAGTTCGATTCTTTTGATACGATGCAAAATTTCTAAAACATATATAATAATATCCCTGGACAATTCACACAACATCACCTATTCCCAAATTAAGCAGAGCTAGCTTTACTTTGGGAATTTACTTTTGGGAAGTTATATTCCCAAAAGTAAATTCTCAAAGTAAGCTATAACTGATATAAATAATGCCAACAATCACACGAATACAAATGTTTGTACCGTGCGAGGAATCGAACTCGCGACAATTAATATTCGCCCCTAGTTTGAATATGGAAGCTGTAGGGCTGTAGTGGCAGCTTTTCAAAAAGCATTAAGGTTTCTTAAAGGACAGCAAAGCGCAAGTGACACCCCCGGTGTCTCAGGCGTCCATAGGCTACGGTTATTTACCATCAGAAGGGCCGTATGTCTGCCACCATCGTAGTATAAAAAAAAAGTGGTATGAAACATACCTATTCGAGATCCCAACGAGATGCTTCATTGGACCAACGATACCCTTCATGGCGCGTGCTTTGATATCTTGAGCGTTGGGAGATTTTGGCTCGTCGTTGGATTCTAAAAAAGTGCGAACAATAATTACAATTAGGGGAAAGTGGTAATTGTATTATGGCCCTATTGGTGATTAAACTCCGATTCCGACCGCTATTGGATCCAGCTATCCGCTATTGGATACACCAGCGGTGGCCTTACCCATTGTAAGGCCCCAGGGCAGGACTTTGCGAGGCCCCGGGAGGCAAGTCTTTGCGAGGCCCTTTGTCCTTCGTGAAACTGTATACTGCATAACTCAACACCAGTGAATTTGCATAAAGAACGTGTTTCATCTCTAAACGAGGCTTCAGCTTGGGAGCCTAATATTGACTGTTCTAGTTTTTGCCTTCTCTAGATTTCTAAATAATAATTATTTTAAAGACTTTCTCTTCAGGCAATGAATAGAGTCGATACTAGTTCTAAAAGTATTTTAAGTCGTAACAGTTGGCTTAGTTAAATTTGGGTCAATTCGAAAATGGACTCTATTAAAATGATATAGAATGTGAATTAAAATTTTTTATTACTTGTTTTAAATTTTACTTAGTTATTTAATTTTCTTAAGAGAATAATCCATTCCATTCTCATTAACATTATAATATATGTATATTATATAGGGAATACATAAGAATGTTAGAAAGGCTATAATGTATGGCACTAAAAAGGTTGGGAAATACGGTCCAGAGATCTAAATGAGGCGTCGTTAGCAATAATAGGATTTAGATATAATTTAGGAGCTTTGTTTTGACTAATTTCTGCTAATAAAATGGACTTCTCCAAAATAACATCTAATTCAATAAAATATGAAGTCAATACACACTTACCTGGGTCAATCTCCGGCATGCCTGCAATCACATTCTTCAGTGATACATCCAATTCGGTCGCGAGATCCTTGTTTATGAAATTGAGACTTGGGTCCAGTTCTTTGCCGTCGCCTGCATAAAGCTAACACTGATTAATAGGGGGATCATTAGTAATGGGGATTGGTGATCACATTGCTAGAGTTGTCCAATATGCCTGGTAACCATCATGGTCAATTACCTATGAATCTCGATGGCCTTACTGACCTGACACCTCCACTGGTGCCCCTCCAGCGTTTACCGTTTGCGCAGGCGGGTGCACCATTCTATCATCATCCATAAATATATATTTACTAGCTGTGCCAGCGGTTTCTTAAGGGGGTAAAGTATAATGCTCACTATTCCACGCGGACGAAGTCGCGGGCACAGCTAATAGACTATATAATATCACGCTATGACCAAAAAGCAGTTTATGAAGGAAGCATCTCGACACTACTTCGACTCTGCCCAATCCCAACTTAACACGCTGGTTTGGGCTATTGGAAGAATTCTTAGGAGCGATGGTTTTTATATCCTCAGAGTAAAGTGTAAACTTTCCAAAGGAGATATTTCTTTTATGCATGAGTGGCAACCACATAGGATGTGTAGTAGCGTTTTCTTTTCAGTTTGTCAAAATCTGAGAAGATTTTGACAAACTGAAAGCGCTGGTGCTAGCTAAGCTGGCGCCTATATCTACGTCTGGTGAAATAAACCTACCTAATAAAGCTGCCTTCGATTCCACATAACGGCTGGTGATGCCGGCCAGTTCTCGGAGTACATCCAGCTCTTCTGGGTGTCTCACAAACACTCCCTTGAAACGCAATCTCATCCTATCAACATCCGAGTACCCTGCAATAGAAACCGGAATAAGGATTTGAGAATTTTATATCCTTTCTTTTTCTTTAGTCAGTCTTAATGGTCTAGCAGTGTAGTGGTTTAGCACACCGCTTTACTTTCGATTGTCGCGGGATCGATTCCTCGCTACAAACATTTGTATTCATTCATATGATTGTTTGTATCTGTCTGATGTTTTTATATAGTATTTACAAAAAAAAATATCTATGTATTTATCAGCTGTCTAGTATCCATAATACAACCTCAGCTTCACTTGGGACTAGATGGTGATGTGTGAATTGTACATGGTACATATTATTATTATTATTTAGTCATACACTATTGATTCGTGGTCATAGTTTTCAGGATGGTATCAATGTTTCCTCCTAGTTTTATATAATAAAAACAAACATATAATTACAGGGAATGATTACCTGAGAATAAATAACCCTGGACAATTAACACAGCGCAATTTAGTCCCACGGTAAGCAGAGCTTGTGTTATGGGCATTAGACAACTAATAAATACTTCGTTTTTTTTTAAAATACTTATAAAGCACCCAGACTACTATATATAGTTATTCAAACAATCATACTCATGAATACAAATGTTTGCACCGTGCGAGGAATCCAAGCCGCGACCATCAGAAGTAAAGCTGTGTGTTAAACCGCAGGACCAACGAGGTCGTAAATTTTTCGTCAAAATTTTCTGTAGAACTTTCTCGATAAAACAAAGCTCTAGTACCTTCCAAGTATTTCTTGTATGACGGTTCCATCCCATACTCTCTGGGCGCCGCGTGGTATTCGCATGGTCCCTGTGTTAGGACTGATCCCAGTATATACAGCATATCCAGGCGTCGCTCCCTGCGGGCGATCATCTCCAGCCGAGCTATACTCTCCACATCATCGGGGACTATCCTGAGTGCCGCGAAACCGGAGTACGGTTGGAGGTTCAGCAATGCATAAACCAGGAATAGACCCGCCACTGATTCCTAGGAAGTATGTGAATACATATATATAAAATTAAAGTGTCTCTTTGTTAAAATTATGTTATGTATATGCTAATAATATTATTAATGCTAAAGTTCTTGTTACGTGCCGCAACACCGACCACGGCAATGTTAGGTACATCCCGCCTACACTACGCTACTAAGGAACAGGACATTGTTGACTACATCCAGACTAAAAGCAACCTGACATTGAGGGTGACGCAGTTGGAATCGAGCCACAACGCGAGCTTCAAAGCGTTCGTGGCCCTGGTCCCCACCAACATGCTGCCCACCTTCATGAAGGAGGACTACTGGCCGAAGGGGGCGGTCTATCGGCGCTACCGTGGCAGATTGCCGTCGTAAGTGCCGTGACCATAGAGACAATTTTATTTACATATTTTATTATTATTTCTTATATATGTTAGTCTATAAGGTATTTATAATATGGGCCATGTAGCCTGAATTAAATAAATAAATATAAAAAATAAAGGGGCCCTTCAAGTATTACGTAAGCAGATTTATTACAATTATTTACCTCCCCATCCCCCTTGTCAGCAAAAGCAAGCAAAGCTCTTACCCCTCCCCCCATTCTAACATTGACTTTACTAAAAAAAAACAATACATTAATTGAAAAATGTTTACATAAAACATTTTTCTTTTAATGTATTGATTTTTTAGCAAAGAAAATGTGAGGGTTGCCTTTCGATTAAAAAATTACCGATGACGTAAGAATCATCTAAATCCCCTACCCCCCATGCCATCCAAATTAAGCAAAAAGAAAACCCGGCCCCCTATAATGCTTACGTAATAAGTATTTGGGGCCGTTCAAGTGAACGGCCCTAAAGTAGGGACGTTTGTTACTCTTTCACGCAAAAACTACTAAATGGATTTGGATGAAACTTTACAGTAATATAGCTTATATAAGCAAATAACAAACATCTATACTCACAAACTTTCGCGTTCATAATATTATTAAGATTAATATAATACTAGCAAACATTGGTTTGCATGAATAACATTGCAATTTGAATTAATTGATCTGGAATATAAATAAAACTAAATATTGGTTTTACCTCAAAATTACTATTATCAGATAGCATAAATTGCTTGGCTATCTGAATAAGTTCTTCTGATAATTCTGCAATTTCGGCTCCAGATAATCGCCCACTGAAATAAATAAATAATCTATACATGTATGGATACATATAAATAAAATTGGAGTGTCTGTTTGTAATATTGACATAACAATTTTTACTACATGCATATGAATATAAATACGGTACATACACCAAAATATATATTTTTTTAAATTTTTATCTGTCTGTTTGTTTGTGCCGGCTAATCTCGGAAATGGCTGAACCGACTTTGACGGGACTTCTATTATTTAGTTGATGTAATAAGGAGTAACTTAGGCTACTTTTATTTTAGAAACATAAAGTTAAATTCCATGTGGAGGAAGTCTCGGATACATACATATAATTAGTAAAAATCATGGGATCTACATTTTATTTTTATTAATTTTGCAATGTTTCGGCAGTGTTTCAAAAAGTTTTTTACCAATTGATAAATCTACTGTATACTCACTGGTATAAATGATCGAATTGCATTTCTTTCCATACTCTGCAGAAAGTTTCATAGTTTATTTTGTCCGACTGCATACACCTCTGTATCAGTAAAGTGCAGTCAGAGTGAAAACCGTCAGCTATATATCCATAATAATGTGGATGATGTTTAGGAAAATCTGTAATTGAAATAATAACAATCATAGACAATTTACACAGCTTCATCTAGGCCCATGCTAAACGAGGTCATGTTAAGTGTATTCATTGATGATATTAGAATGCACCCACCTGCACTAACGGTTTACACAGGCGGGGCACCAATGCAGTGATAAGATGAGCTTGAGTTTACCTGTTAGCCTATCATGACAAATTACAAGGATCTTATCACAATGGTTACTATGGGGAACCATTGTGGATGGCAACCTGACATGGACATTGCTAGCAATGGGTTCCTCAAACCACATTATTAACCATCCCATTCTCCATGTTATGGGGATTGGCTTAGATTTATTCTGACTTTGCTAATTTACACAATAGCCTTTTAAATTATAGTCTATTTATGTTTAATATAAATTCACAGCAGCAGCTGTATTATTATAAAATTTAATAAAAATCCATTCAGTTGTTTTTGTGTGCAAGAGCAATGTTTTTGCTCGTAAAATCATGGAATCTACATTTTATTTTTATTCATTTTGCAATGTTTCGGCAGTGTTTCAAAAAGTTTTTTACCTATTGATAAGTTGTTTTTGTGTGCAAGAGCAAAAACATACAATTTTTATTCTATTAAATTGAATGGCATCCACCAATTGATGTTTGTGATTTTGACAATGTTGTGATTAGGGTTAGTGGTGTGGTTTACAAGTTTTCTTGACTATATTTGTAAAAGTTAAGACTATTTCATTTGGAATACACCCATTCAAACAATCTTTGTAATACCCTTGTAATATTAGTACAATTACCAGTACAATGGATATCAACTTTGTGTTGCTATGGGGACCATAGTATGTGTTGAAATTCCAGAGGACTAATAAATCATGTGTGTACCCTATAATCTCACTGCTATATCTTATTCTTAAAAAAAAAAGGTTAGAAAGGAAACAGTTTAAATAGATGAGGCAAAGGACGTTTGTCCTTTGCCTCATCTAACAACATTTATATGACTACAACGTACATTTAGATAAAAAACGATGTATGAAGATGGGAATAAAAATTGTGCTCTCTAACTCGTCAGGTCCTCAAAAATTCTATTGTTTCATTTAATATACACATATCTACTTTTAACAAACACATTTTTTTTTGTAAAACAAACACATTTCACTTACCTCTTCGACTTGACATAATAAACTTTAAAGTCTGAATTTTTCAAATTTTTCATCAAGTATTTATTATTTTTAAGCACAATTTTATAGTAAAATGTGTCAAATATCACTATAAGGATACCACTTATCAGATATATGTATTATTCTACTAGTCAGCCGACTGTTCCAAGATAAATAAATATTGAAGTTAAATAAAATTTTAATCGTAAAGAAACATAAATAAAAAAATGTTTCTAAAGTCTTTACAGTTTTCATAGATCAAGCAATGTTGCTATTATTGAATGAGTAAGTCCACTAATTGCAGTTCCTTAAAACCATTAAGTGTAATTATCAGGTTTCTGCAGTTTACATTGTAAATTGAATAATTTTGTTTCTGCTGTCATTTTTAATAATTATTTTCTTCGTATTATAAGCCCACTAAAATACCATCAGTGTACCAGTTCTCCTGTAGAACTTTTGAAGTGGTAACAATGCCAAGATTGTCAAAAAAGTAACTTTTTATTCCTTGTTTTAGGGATCTGGATAGAAGTCCTTTTGATTCCAAATAATTGACGTGAAGTGTCGCCAATTCTATATACCTTTTGTGCAAATAATTAAAAATAGTTGCAATATGTTTATTTGAATAAAGATTTTTAGTATTTCTTAGCTGCGTAGTTCCTTGTTTGCAAATTTGGTAGACTCAATCGTTTAGGACATGCGATTCTACAAGTCACTATTATATGTATAGCAATAAAACTATAGATTAAACGTTGTTGTCTGAAATTGTCGAAGTTAGTCAGCAAAAACAAGTTTTAATGCATTTGCAATTGGGTTTGTCTAAGAGGTAATTAAACATTGTAAAGAATAGCAAATAATAACATTTTAACAGTTGAATTGTTTATTTAACTACATAACACTATTCCCATTACATCAATGCACCAGAACACAGGTAACTTATAAAATAATAAAACACCGGTTATGCTTACAATTATTTAATATTGATTTGTATCGATTTGGTAATTTCAATCGTAAACTAGCGTATCTCCAAAGTTAATATTTATGCATATGGCAACACGAGGAACCACAAGCAACGGAAGGCTGTGCGCGCGTATGAGATACGTTATTGCAGTTGTATTAAATCACTACTTTTAATAAACTAAGTAGAAATTGTGTTTAGAGAACTGGCTTCTCGGTCAGTTTGTACCAGTGTCCGCATTCGCAACGGCGGGGGTGGCCCTGTAACAGAAAAATATAATTATAGCAACACTGATACAACCAACAGAAAAAAAAAGAGTTTATTTTAACATTGGTTACTCAGAGCCATTATTAAATGTCGTTTACAGGTAATGAATGCAACACAAATCAACACTTGATATTCCAACATTTCACTGGGTATATTGGAATTCCAATTGGAAATCTTTAAGATTTATTTTGTTTGTTATCCGTTCACAGATAAAAAAATCTAGTGTTTTTTATTTGACATATTTTATACAAAGAATATATGAAAAAATGTAATTGCTATGCGGATTATTGGTATCGTAAGATTTTATTGGTCTGAGTCGAGATAGTAACTCGTAGGGTACAACACTCTAGGAAACCATTTCTTAGAAAACTCATGTCTAGTTAACAGATTGACATATAGTAGTTATATCATCTGTGCTTTCATTGTTTCAACGCCAAGCTACTGATTATGTTACTACAATCAGTCAATATTAATAATTTTTTAATTTATTATTATTCAAATTCAAAAATCATTTATTCATGTAGGACTTTTTAGCTGCTTATGAACGTCAAATTTTTTTAGATTATTATTATAATTTTTTCCCTACCTTATTGAAATTTGTACTATACTTTACCTTATGTAACCAAAGCCAGGTGATTGCTGTGGAGTGTTCGTCACCTGAAATAATGGATAATAAATATAGAACTTTAAATATTGCTTCAGTTTGCTGAGTCATACATAACCCATCGCCAATAAGGGTTATTGGTAAAATTAGTATTGAGGGGATACTCCAGTAAGATAATTTAATACAAGCTGTACCTGCGACTTCGTCTGCATGTAATTTAACTTTATTTTTCTAAAAAAAAGTAGTCTAAGTTACCCCTTATTACATCAGCTACCTGCCAATAAAAGTCCCGTCAGAATCGGTCCAACTATTTCAGAGATTAACCGGAACAAACAGACAAAAATTAAAAAATATATATTTTGCTGTATGTACCATATTTATATATGCATGTAGTAAAAAACAGTTATTTCAATATTACAAACAGACACTCCAATTTTAATTATATGTATAGAATCTATTAATTTAATTATACTTTTTATTTTTTGTCATCTTTTTGTTCGGGCTTGCAATCCCCATGAAAGTAATTAAAACAGACATGTAAATTCATCACTTTGAGTCCCATATCGTCTACCCGATTCCTTATAGTCGTAATACATACAAGAAGATACTTCATAAACAATGTAGGGAGTTTAATTCGAGGAAAAATGTTTATGACATTTACAATGGCACTATTTCTTTACAGTAATATTTATAAATAATATATCTTCTGTAAAATCCACCCGTATCTCTACACATGAGGTGACCTAGGAAGATATCCTACCTACAAAGTTGTGTGTTGGATGATCATTATACACTTGTGTATGTGCATAAAATTTGCACATTGTTGTAATTTTCGTTTTTTTCATGCTAAGTATTTTTGCAACATTGGTGCATTTGTCAGAAACAATTTGACAAATGTTGGGTCAGTTTTATTAGTAGGTGCAACCTTCAGATGTGTAATTTATTATTTAAAGATCTTCAAATATGTTTAAAGCTTTGAAGTGTTGGGGTTTCTTAATAATGCTGTTATTAGGTCATTAGATAATATATGTTGTCATTGGTGTAACTACACTAAGTTTATAGTCATGATCATTAACTTGTTTTTTCCAATATTACTTATTTATTTACTAAATCCTTATCATTGCTGTTTAAGTCGTAAATTTCATGGATTCAACAGCATTAAAAAATGGAGCAGGGCCCAAATAAGTAAATGCCAGTGATTTTATTCACTCTTCAAAACTGTTTTTGAACTTTCTTTTTCTTATTTATGGTTCGTGACAAAATGTAGCTGATTTGCATAGCTTTCCTTAGCTAAGTCCAATCTAGTCAGGCAAAATTCATCAATGTCGGCTCGGATATTATCTATATATGCCCACCTCCAGATGCTCTGGGTTTGTAATAGTATAATGATGTCTTTTGCCTCTAAAATGACCAATCTGCTGTGATAATCAGGTTATTTGTGCTCACCCAAATCCTATGCTTTAGAGATGCATTTCATTTGCACATTATGGCTGCATGGGCTTCAATCCATGTTTCAAATATAAAATAATACGATTAATATTGGGGGGGAAGGGAATCTGGATTAATAACCCCATTGCTAGCACTAGCACCACGTCAGGTGAAATTTACATGGTTTCTCCAGGAAACATATCATGTTAAATTCCTTGTCAATTTGCCATGTTACATTAACTGACCCATTGTTGATGTATGATACTTATTTTATTTTATTTATAGCCTTTATACTAACTACAGTTAAAGTAGGTTTTGTTTATTTATTATTTCACTGCCAAGGTTCATCAACTTGTCCTAAGACACAGGCTTCCTCCAAAAGGCTCCATGTTCTCCATGTTGGTCCAGCCCCTGCCCTTATGTCATCCTCCCACCTCAGTTGATGTATGATATAGGATGATAAGATGAGTATGAAGTCCTGACTTCACCTCCACATTTCTCTTGGAAACCATCATGTTAAATTCCTTGTGAATTTGCCTCAAAGTGCTAACTGAACTGACCTTATACTCATCTCATCCTCCACTGGTGCTCCGCCAGCGTATACCATCAGCGCAGGCGCATGCAGCATTCCATAGTCATCCTTTATAAAAGATACTATAAACATTTAATGAAATCCTATTAAACTGTACTTACATATGCATCCAACAATACGGGCATCAAAGCATGAGGGTACAAGTGTGGGATTGTCACGGGTGCCAGCGTTTTTCTTTAACACTTTCATGTTGAAGGGGTCGTCGTCGCCGGCCTGGAGGGCCAACAATTCCTTCCTTTCCAAACCAGTCGCATGTTCAAGAGGATCCGGCATCACTGTTGAGAAACATTTATTCATTCTGTTTTAAACTTTACACAATCATAACACATATTTTTATGTATAATGTTTATAAAATAAAAGTAGTCTAAATTACTTTTTATTACATCAGCTACCTGCTAAAAAGTCCCGTCAAAATCAGTCCAGCCATATCAGAGATTAGCCAGAACAAACAGACAGGTAGACAGATGGACAAAAATTGTAAAAAATGTTATTTTGGTGTATGTACTATATTTATATTCATGTGCATGTAGTAAAAAACTGTTATTTCGATATTACAAACAGACACACCAATTTACACACATACACAACATGTAAAATGAAGTATGAAATTAATTTAATACAATCTATTTTATTTTATTTCTTAATATTGATAGTGAAGTTAATGTTGTTTTTATTTATTGCTATTTCACTGCCTCAATCCTCTTCCTAAACATTTCCATTCTAAACATTTACCTTAACAACTGTTCTTTTATAATATTTGGGTCTTATTGTCCCAAATATTTACACCCGCCCTACACATTATACCCAATTACTGTAATGTGTAGGGTCAAAACAAACATTCCATTACTGTTCATAGATGCGATTATATTATCTTATACAACTATTTATACTTTTGACTTTAGCAATTGTAGTTAGTTTAATCAACTATTTTTGGGATATATTAACATATTGAATCTGAACTACTTTTAAATTATTTGACTAAAAACAATTGTAGGCAAGTTACAGTCAAGTTTCAACCTTTGGAATACGTATATTGATATTTTATTGAGTGTAAAATACTATTCCATTACATAGTAAAGTTAACGTTATCGATTAAAAGATAAGAAAAGATAACCTACAAGTTGGTAGGATTCCGAATGATTTATTAGCATATTATTAGAATTTCTCATATTATAAAAAGTATAATAGACAAAACAGATGTGTAATAAGACATTTTTTGTCGTATATTAATGAAACAATGAAATATTATGACAAAAATGTGCCATTCGTTTGACGTATTTTATGTAATAAATGGCGTTGTAAAAGAAACGACGGTGGTAATAATTAATAATGAATAATTGTAGGTGATATATGAATAAACATATAGAAGAATAATTAGTTTGTTTTTAGATTATTCCATAAAAGGTAGGTGTGTTTTACTTTTTGACATTACGTAACGAAAGATTTTTGACTATTTCAATGGACGGTTTTGTGAAAATTTTGTAGAAAATCTTACTTTTATCGGCATATCCCCGTCGGGCGGCATTAACCAAAGCACCCCTAAATGCATTAGCACGGATAATTTGTCTACACAAAGAAGCCATTCTGATTTTATTGTTACACTAGACCGCTTCGGACGATAGCAAGTGTACCAATTTTTCTACAACAAAAAAGTTAAAAACCGATGTTATACGGACTTACTCGCTTATACACTATTTTACCGATACAGTTGAGTTTTGGTCATAGACTTTTCATACAATTATTCTGTCACCACCATGATTGCTTTTTAAAGTTTTATTTAAGTTTTTATCGTGTGTTGTTGACTATTTATAAATAGTAAACACATGTTAATGCGTTAATTATAAAATTAGAATTGCATAAATTGTTTTTAATTCTGCTAGTATGCCGCCAGATGACGCTATTAGCTCATGGTCCTTGGTTTACTTTGTTGATACTATAATATTTAATGAATACGTAGAACCTTGTCGAAAGGATTACAAAAAGTGCTACCAAGTTTACAGGATTCGTCGAAAATTATATATTAAATAAAATATTTTTTTCAATTAAAGTAATGTTTCGGAGTTAGTACTTATATGACTAGTACAGTTAGCTGTTATTATGTAAACCATTATTTCATTATGATTTCAAATGTCTATATGATTAATGTATAATACATTCTATATTGTAGATTTTTTAATTTTATATATTGTATATCTTGTTACATAATATGACATTTATGATAATACACTATCTACTATATTAACTAAAAAGTAACAGGTGACTTTGTTTTATAAGATTAAAATAAAATCCCTAAATAATATCTAAGATAAAAAAAGAATAAAATATACGATTAATAGTTTTAAAATTTATTATCATTACATAACATTAACGTAGTATCAAATATATCGCAATTTTCATATAACTCCTTATTTTTTGAACTCGGCAAATTAGCACATATACGTCTGTTATTCAACTCTTCTATGACAGCTATTGTTATTATGTTAATTCTTAAGTAGTGATGAGAATTTTGGGTAATAGCATAGTTTGTTACATGAAAATCGGTGAATCATGTTCTACTTTTTAGCATAAACTTCAGAAATGTTAATTGTTTAGATGTAGTAAACCTCAAAATCTGAAATAATAAGTACTAATTAATATAACGAAATAAGCACAAAGGGTTCAGTTTTTAATAATATACAACAATATTTGATATAAAAATTGTAAGGTGTATTTTATTGAAAATATCATTAATGTGAATAATCTTAAATAACTAAGTATAAAATAGAAAAAAAAAATAGTAATGAGTGAAAATTATAAAATATATAAAAAAAAACATTTTCTTTACTGTAGATAAATATAACTCCCTTTGATGTAATAAGCGTCATTAGCTCGATGTAATTTTTTAACACCTAAAATATGTTAAATTGGCGTAATATCTTATTTACGTTATTAATGGCTAGTGATCCACCCTGTCTTCACCCGGCTGCCCATAACTTTTTGAGTTCTGTGTATATTATATTACTATTTATTATATATTTTGTTACTCTGGAATATAGTCATTATGGAATGGACTGGAATAATACAGTATTACAGTAAAGAAATTTATTAAAATAGGTATTAATATTACGGCTAGTATGTAATCAATGGTATATACCAATAGTTTTTAAGTTTATAACAAATTTATTGCATTTTTATTGCAAATGTATAAACAGTCAAATAGGTTCTCTTTATAACATTAGTATAGACTTACCAGGATTACAAATAGTGCTTTTCGATTAATTTTCTTTATTTTATTTGCACACAAAATCATAGATATAATTATGGTGCTTAAATAAAATCAATTTCTTGTACGGCCGCTTCTCTGAATAAAACAACCCTTGAAAGAGTTTAAACGTACGTCAATTTCACCTTCTTCCAGCTGAAATGCAAAATTAGAATTATGAAGTAATGGTTAACGACTTTAACGACGAGTTACCCTTTACTCCATTTAGACCACACATAACATAATATTACATAATTAGTCACATTTTTATTGAGTATTTTACCCTATAAGACTGTTTCTTTAAATAAACAATGATACAATCTATTTTCACACCAAATTTTTGTAACAAGTAACAAACAACATCGTATAGGATATAGTGATTATTAACATCGCATTTTATAGATTCTCCTTCATGTTCCAGTTGTACCTGGACATCATCATGATTATTTCTGGCGAATTGGATATGGCTCTGTAACCTGATTTTTTCGTAGATATAGGCACTTACCATCAGATAGAGTGTCAGGCTATTTGCTGATCTAGTTGCATAAAAGGGCACAGGACGACTTCCGCCCTAACCTGACAATTATATGCCTTACGATACCTACATCAATACTTGATTTCGTACTAAAAAAATAAACTTCAATAATAACATTTTTATAAGGAAGCACTCCTTGTAAAATTTTTATTATTGAAGTGTATAAGAACGAAACCTAACTTTTTAATACATTCATACAATTACCTGATCTGCCTGATAAAGCTCTCTATAACAGGACGGAGAAACACATTCCCTTACGCATCTGGTTCTTTGCAAACCATTCAAGTGACTACACACACTACTTTGTTCACATGCTGTTTCAAATTCTCTGAATGTCATTTCCTAAAATCAATATTTTGAAACATTGTTCATTAAAACATATTTTCTAGTAGGTATTGTACTTTATATGGATTCTGAAAATATAAATATTGATATGATCAAATTTACAAATATGTTAAGTAACAATAATAATGTATTTGTCAAGCATTTGTGTCTTACTCTGATGGGTCTTTTATTATAAATTCGTCTTAAGTATAGTTAGAAAAAGGTTAACAGAAAAATAAATAACGTATAATAAAATCAAAACTAATATAATTTAAATTTATACTTATAAGTAGGTGTATGTACAAAAGAAAATAATGTGATTAGAAGAAAATTGTTTCTTACATAACGAGAGAATAAAATAGTCAATAGTACACTTATTTCGAATGAAGTATCATTATTATGTGTGAAGAAGAGTATAGTAGTTTTCATTGCATACTTACGTTTTTCGGAGAATCCTTATATTGATATTCTTTAAAAGCGAATGTTACTGGTGTTTCAGCTGCAATCTTGTAAAATCCACATATTCCTAAAATTACGTACAAATAAATTAATACATAGTATCGTAACATTTTAATAATGTTATAATTGATTATTTTTCGTTTCTAGTCAAGTTGTTGTTTCAAAAATCAATACTATAGATTCGACCACCTGTTGCTCTACGCTATTGCGCTTTTTGCTCTATGGTTTCTAAATTTCCTGAAACCGTAGATAAAAAATTAACCTTTACTTGAATAAAACATTCCTAAATTGGTAAAATATTCATTTTAATATCACCTTTAACATTAATTTACTACATTTTGTACTTATTTGAGTTACTCATAAAAACCGAATTTACAAATAATTTCTGTACACTACACTAGTTATCGTTACTCAGTGTACTACAGTATTATGTCAGTTCCCCTCAATCAAGTTGCTTTCGGCTGTTGCCAGTTGTCAATAACTGTCATTCATTGTTGTCACGTAATAATAATCTTTATTTTATAATGTTTCATTCTTACAAGAATTCTCTCACCATAATAATTCAATAATCCAGAAATCCTTCTAATTTGCATATCTAATTAATATTTTATGATATTTCGCGAGTGTTGTGTTTGTATGCTTTCGATTTTTGATAATATTAGTACGGTTCAAGGCTACTTTTTCAGTGGGACTTAACAGCAGAATCGCAAAAATATATCAAACATTCGGTAAGTTTTTATTTAAATATACTTTTATTATGATATGAATTATATGAAAAACAAAAAAGTGCCAATTTTTTGTATAAGCCACTAGTATTCTCCACTTGTATTATATGGTTCAGAATATCTAATGTATGTACTTAATACAATGCTGCATAAAAGAACATTACCTCACTATGCGTATCAATATTTAATACATATTACTAAAGCATCTTTCTGAAATGTTGTTTTTGTCGATTTGTTCAGTCTTATTAAACGAAACAAATAGATTTATTTAGTATTATTAGTTTGTGAATGGTATACAGTTCCATAATAAGCTTGTACAAAGAAATGGATTTCATATTACAAGTACATTCTTAATTTAAAAAACCTTTTTTTTTTCTAAAATCTCAGACGCTGTTTGTTGCTTAGTCATACATTCCAAACAGATGGTAGAGTATACTTATCATAAGTATCTGTCACAGACTAACATGATTACAGATATTGTGATTTGATTTGATTGCTTACTCACTCATAATTTAAGAAGACAATCTGTAACTTCTTTATCATTAAAATGGTTCCCTACAACATATTTATTCAAATTAAGAAAACTGCATAATAGAAAGTGACAAAAGAAGACAATAGCAAAAATATATTTATTGGTGGTTTCTATATTTTAAAACATACAAATAGAGGAATACCAGTAATAAATTTATTTTTGCAATACACTTTTTAAAATGATATATATATTACTCATATATATCATTTTAAAAAAGGTACATGCAACTTTCTTGATTGTTGTTCCTGTGTTGAGTCTGCTTTCCAAATGAGTGGTATAATAAAAAAAAACTATTCAAAATGGCTTCTATTAAGTTTATTCAAATAAGGATGATTTCTTTTTCTACTAATGAAATAAATAATCAGGAGAAGATGACATACATATAGATGTTTTTCTCTTTTCTCCTATTTGCATATTACTTACCTGTTTAATATTTAAATCTGTTCCCCTAAGATTGCCTTTAAAAGATTGCTTTCAGTAATAAGGCTGCCTTATTGTAACTAAGTGTTCTTTAACAGATTGCTTATGAACACACATGACAGTAAAGAATAGTACTGTATGTAACTAATTAGTATATTCTAATTATTTATCCTCTAGGTTTGTTTCTGGTCACATGTTGAGCAGAGCAGGTTTATTCTTAAAACACAATCTTGACCGATTGGAATTTTTGAGTGGTAAATGCTGGAGGTCCGAAGGTGAAAATGAAATTTTAAAGTCTCAATCAAACCTTTTTGGAGGAGTATTGTTAGAAAGAGTGGAAATTTGATCTCTAGATTTCAATTTTTTTTACATCTCAATATAATGTTATGTGTACAATGAAGTTAACATTGTAATATCTAAATATATATAACTCAAAGGTGACTGACATAGTGATCTATCAATGTACAGCCCAAACAACTGGACGGATCAGGCTGAAATTTTGCATGTAGGTAGATGTTATGACGTAGGCATCTGCTAAGAATGGTTTTTGATTTTGAACATTGTCAATTTTAAACCGATCAGGCTGAGACTTTGCATGCATAAAGCTACTGTGATGTAAGCATCCCCTCAGAAAGGATTTTGATAAATTCCACCACTAAAGGGATAAATTAAGGTGAGCAAGCCATGGGCAAAAGTGTCTTAAAAAATTGTACATAGATTATCCACTATCAATTATAGATTAACTATAATCATATCATATTTTCTTCTTATCTACCTTTAATCCACATTGACAAATCTTGCCTTTCCTTTATACATATATACTATCAGTTCAAAGCATATATACAATAGAAATAATAGAAATAAATAAAAATATATAGAAATAATGTTATTGTAACATAAGGTCATTGTTCTTCATCAAAATTAGTTTGAAAACCTATTCATGAATCACTTTTTTTAATTTTAATTAGTATGAAGACTTTTAAAGTCATACAATACTATTTATTTGCGAGAATTTAATTTGATTTTTTTGCCATAATGATAGTAGAAAATAATTTATTCAAATAAAGTTAATTGAACCACTTTTGAATAGTCATAACAGACGACCTCGGTGGTCTAGTGGTCTAGCACACCGTTTTACGACCGATGGTCGTGGTTTCGATTCCTCGCACGGCACAAATATTTGTATTCATGAGTATGATTGTTTGTATCAGTCTGGGTGTTTTCTATGTACAATATGTTTAATTTACAAAAAAAAAATATATCTATGTATATGTATCAGTTATCTAGTACTCATAACACAAGCTTTAGCTAGCTTAACTTGGGTCTAGATGGCGCTGTGTGAGTTGTCCTGAGATTATTATTATTATAATATTTTTTTTTAATCTACTGCACATTCGGAAAACTAGTCTATGTTGGTCTTTTATTATACTATCTAGAATAATTTCAAATTTAATTAAGGTCTGATGCAGTTGTTTAATAATATAAAGGTAACAAACAGACAGACATTTGTAATCTATATATCATCCTGATCACTGTAGAATGCTGCTCGTCACTCTGTACTGGTGCAGTATTTCTTACCCTTTATAATAAACTATAGGGATTTTTACGGGAGTTTTATAAATATAAATAAATATAAAATAAAACTCCCGTAAAAATCGGTCCAGCCATTCCAGCCAGAGATTAGCCGGCACAACAGATACTCCGTCAGACAGACAGACAGACAAAAATTGTATAAAAGGTTATTTTGGTGTGTGTACCGTATTTATATTCATATGCATATAGTTAAAAACGGTTATATCAATTACAAACAGACCCTCTAATGTTATTTATATGTATAGATTACTAAAAAAAGAGATCCACGCGGGTGAAATAATGGGTAATAGCTAGTTTTGAATATATACAATTATTTAGAATTAGCTGTTACACACTATGAGGATGCTCCTTGTTTATTTTAAAATACCAGAGCGACTTCTAATTGAGTACTAATTATGAGATATGTCAGATCTTAATGATACGAAGTGATGATGATAATATTTAGGTTTTTATAGGATTACAAGTTGTATACAGTAAGTCGATTACAAGTTGTCAATCAAAGTTGATAAAAAATTACTCATAATTGTGATAAAACGGATTAAATAAAAACAAAAACAATAAAAGGATAGGCTCTACTACGTTTCTTAATTTTTAAAATTAATTTACAAACAACAGGATTAATAATGTAATGACCTCAATCGCATTTTTAAAGATAACCTAAATACTACTGTTTTGTCTGTGGTAAATATATTTGGGACAAAAAGCAGCAGTAAATAGAATAGAATAGAAAATCATTTATTCAAATAAACTTAATTTAAGCACTTTTGAATAGTCATAACAATTTGTTTTTTATCTACCACTCGTTCGGAAAGCTGTCTCATCACAAGAAGAACGAGCAAGAAACTTGTGTGTTGCTCTTTTAAAAACTAAAAACTAAAACTAAAAAAAACTATATCGCTGTAAATAGAAAATAGTTCTGAGGTAACACTTAATAATCATGCTAGTGCTAACATCGCTATACAGCTATGACGCGTACGTCGTTCTACTCGTCTGCGCGCCGTGCAACATTGTGCATCTGTGGCGCATTACGTTTGCGCGGGAAAATAAGACTACAAAAATGGCTTCTTCAGCATACATACTAATCCTCTTGTACTCCTAATTCTTAATTGTTTTTATACTATTGTTTATACCTTTATATGTATGCAATTTACTACTATTATAATAACCTAGTAATATATATACAACTAACATGTAACTACTATTATATTTAATAAACACACAAAAAAAAATGCAGTTTAATCGAGAACCTACTTTTTTTTAAGTCAGATTAGAACGGCATTACTAATGATACTTTCGTGCTGGTGGAAGTTAGCTAACAATAGATAGTTTATATAACTTGAAGGCAAATAGTATAATATTCATATATATACAGTTCTTATACATAAAATTGAAACCTTATTTCCTTTGATCACGCCATAGCTTGACAAGGATTTAAATGATCTATTTTTTTATTAAACTGTACAATTAAACTTCCGGACAGACATTATGACTGTAGATTTTTTCTACTAGTAAAAGCAAAAAGTTCTCATGTGGAGTAATTCCAAAAGACCGCATTCAGAACCGAGGAGGCAGAATCATTGGTAATCAACCTAATGACAGATTCTACCTACCTTGGCTTTGCGGCATCTCTATGTATGTTCTACCACATATATCTCGTAGGGTAATTGTTCCGATTAATACCAGCTGCTAAATTTCAACATCGCATTACCTGTCCGAAAGTAAAATATAATCTTTATTATCTAAATGAATCGCGGTCCTCCACCGTTCACAATAAGCATTGTGGAATCACCATCCAGCAATGGTATTTCCGAACCGATATGATATTGAAACTTTCAAGAAAAGAGTTTATTTCTTCTTAAGAGGCCGGCAATGCATTTGTATTTTTCCTGGTGTTGCAGATGCTCATGGACGGCCGTCTTC